CTTTATTGCTGGTGTATAGAAATGTGACTGTCTTTTGCACATTGATTTTATACCCTGAGACTTTGCCAACGTCCTTTATCAGTGCAAGGAGGTTTTTGACAGATTCTCTTGGGTTTTCAAGGTATAGAATCATATTGTCTTCAAAGAGGGATAATTTGACCTCCTCTTTTCCTATTTGGATACCCTTGATCTTCTTTTGACTGGGGTTTATATCTCTTGGCATTCTAGTCTATGTCATTCAAGACTCTGTCCTGTGCGTAGCAATGGGCGTGTGATATAGTGCAGTCCATGAAACTGTGCACTTGGGAAACCATTCCTTAAGACTTGCCTTGAGTGTCATCTTTTCACTTAGAAAAGATTCAACTGAGGCTTGGTGACTTGATTAGGTGCCCGTCTTCCTAGCAGACCAAGAGACTTGTGGGAGTAGAAAAGGGGAGGGAGTGTGGAGAAGTAAGGAGCGGGAAGGTGAGCAGCCCTGAGGGAAGGCTCATCCTCCTTAGCTGAGCTAGAAGCCGTGTCCTCCCTGCCTACGGGGTGTGATTGGCGGAGGCCAAGCAGCCCCTAGTGGGGCTGGAACCTGAATTCCTTTGACTCCTAAGTCCACGCTTGCAATCGGCTTGCTTCATGTCTTTGCCTGTTTTGGGGCCACTTATGTCAGACTTCTTCTGGGTGTCACCTACCCTGCCTCCCACTAGCATTCTAGAATTGCTCTGAAGCCTGGTAGATCCAACCTCCAGGAATCAGTGATGTTATCAGCGTAATAAGATACATGTGCCAAGATACTTCACTTCTATGTTGCCAGGCCATTGTTGTCCAACATCACTTCCTAAGGACATAGTGGCAGTTAGAAATGAGTCTGTGTATGTGAGCAAAATGTCCCAGCCATGTAGGGTTCCCATTGGGCCTGGAAGAATGGCGGCATCGGAGAAGTGCAGGTAGGGTCAGTGCCTGCCTGGTGGGGAAGGGCACGTGCCAAGGAGAACCAGGTACTACATTAGTCAAGACGGTAAATTAGCCAGGCTTGTGGGAATTCCTCTAAAAATATTAGCATTGTGGTTGTGTAATTATCGTCCCAAGCTTCCAGGGCTTGATTGGAATGTAGTTGTTATTTGGAATCACCTTTAAACCGACCACACCTAGCTCTTGCCTTATTGAAAAACAGAAATGCTCCCACCTCAGATCCAGTTTGCTTTGAAGTGCTGGTGCCCCTATTTTTTTTTGTTGTTGTTCTTCCTAATTGTCTAAATTTCCTTTCATATATTGCTCATAAGGGTCAAATTAAACGTTTAATTGGTCGTTTAACAAGGAAATTTGCATTCTTCTGCAAACATAGCTGTCTTCTCCAGTGTAACCTTTCGCTGGGAGGCAGGAGGGCTGTCACTGGATCTCATACTGTTGGTTCTAACAGTCTCGTTCTTGAGGAGGCACATGGGGTCGGGGAGTCACAGATTCAAGTGTCATCCCTGCCTGGCATGGGTCACAGGCCACATTCCTGGATTCTCATCCACCCAGACCATTCATCAGCACTGATCGCTCAAAGCCCTTGTTCTGCCTCCTGCTGGTTTTTTTTAAAATTATGAAGCATAAGGTACATAGAGAAAAACCATACATCCTATGTAGAACTCAATGAATTTTCTCAAGCTGAACATACCTAGGTAACTAGAGCCAGATCAAGAAACAGAACGTCGTCGGCACCTAGAAGCCCCTTCTGTGCTCCCTTTAGTCTCACCTAAACCAGAGAGTGACCTGGCTTCTAGCACCCTCAATTAGGTTTTTGTCCCTTGCCCAAATGGAATCGAACAATAGGTATGCTTTTGTGCCTGGCCTCTTTAACTAAATAGATGTTATTTTTGTGAGATTTGTCTGCTTGGGTGAGGGTAGTTCTAGTCCATTCCTTCCTGTTGGGTTCCATTGTGTTCATTGCAAAGTGGTGGTTCAGGGACATCCAGATAAAATTTAGGAAAAGTTAAAAGTATTTCTCTGAAATACAATGAAGTATGTTTATAATTTGGGAGAGAATAGACATAATTGGAGTGAAAATGGAGGCCATGAGCCCAAAGTCAGTGGTCTCAAAAGTGGGGACTAAAGTGGTTCAGCTGCAAGGTAAGGCATAGGGCCTCCCAACGAGAGAAGGGAAGGGTCTGTTTGGATTTGTAGTCCTGCTACCTGTGTGTGGAAGCTGACTGTGAGACTTGCTGTCCTGTGAGCTTCACATTCAGCTCGACTTTTTTTTTCCTTTTCTCTCTCTATTTTATTATTGAGATGCGGGGTACAAGTCAGGATTAGGTACATGAGTAGTCTAGGTGTAGGTGGCGTTTGGGCCTCCAATTGGTCCTCACTTCCCTTGGTTTAGAATCAAGTGCTCTTTGTGATGACATATGCCCCCCCCTGCCCCCCCGCAGTGTCCGGAGGCTGCCGATCCCTCCCTTGTAGCATTGTCAGAATATGTGGTATTCAGTTCTTTGTTTCTGTGATAGATCACTGAATATGATGGGTCCTAAATCCATCCAGTTTGCTGTGAAGTCCATCATTGGCTGATTTTGTGTGGCTCTGAATGAGCATTAATAGTTAAAATTTGTAAAGCTCACTCTGTCACCTCGACCTACTGGGCTCAGGTGATCCTTCCACCTCAGCCTTCCAAGTGGCTGGAGCCACAGACACGTACCACCACACCCAGCTAATTTTTTATTATTATTGTAGAGATGAGGTCTTGCCAAGTTGCCCAGGCTGATCCCGAACCTCTGGGCTCTGGCAATCCTCTTGCCTGCTCCTCCCAAAGTGCCGGCATGACAGGTTCTACTTAACATTTGGTAACAGGGCCCTTGATGTGATGGCAGGAGACTCTCAGTGCTTATTTATTGTTTGTGAATTTGCCAAGCATTTCAATATTCCCGCTGAGCCACCTTCTTTCACTGGAAGGTGATTGCTGTGGTTCAAGAATGCTTTGTGCTTCTCAGTGAGGTAAAACAATCTCTGCATTTTCTCCCATCAGGCCCTGGATGGGGATTTCTCTGAAGACAACCGCAATAAGTGTCGCGTTGCCACTGCACCCTTGATCGAAGCTGTGGAGAACTTGACGGCATTCGCATCAAATCCTGAGTTTGTGAGCATTCCTGCCCAGATCAGCTCCGAGGTAGGGAGATTCGGCAGCAAAGATAATACTGAAGTCTTTGGCTGATTTCGTGTGGCACTGAATGAGCATTAATAGTTAAAATTTAAAAAGCTCTCTCTGTCAACACCTAGAGTATTGCTGCTGTCAGTGATGTTACATGCACCAAGCTGGTAAAACTTAATGACTACACATCTCTTGAGGGATAATCTCTTAGCCTTGTATGTTGAGAACAATCTCCCTGCACAGACTCAGGCCCATTCTTTCTTAGAATGTGTTATACTTAAAAAATGTGAATTAAGAAGCAAACACGAATTCAAGTCCCACCATCCAGACCCTGTGTGAACTGGTTTCCAGGGTTCCCTGCCCTCTGTGTCTCCTTCCAAAGGGCAGAGGCAGTGACTTGGTAAAGAACAGGACCTTCCAGGGCCCGACTCATTCACTCATATCCGTGTACCCTGACCTTTCTCCTTTGCTGTTTGGTCTTAGGGTTCTCAGGCACAAGAACCAATCCTGGTCTCAGCCAAGACCATGCTGGAGAGTTCATCATACCTCATTCGCACTGCACGCTCTCTGGCCATCAACCCCAAAGACCCGCCTACCTGGTCTGTGCTGGCTGGGCATTCGCATACTGTGTCCGACTCCATCAAGAGTCTCATCACGTCTATCAGGTCGGTTTCCCAACCAGAGACTGCTGCCAGCCTGCATCTGAACAGGGCAGGGGGAAGAAAAGCCCACAAGGCTTTTTACTTAATAGTAATATCATTGATCATTGTCATCATTTTTTTATTTATTTCTTTGGGACCAGGAGCACTTGTCACAACAATAATTGCTAACTTAAGCACTTATTCTATGTCAGATATTGCTCCAAGCGTTTTGCCAGTATATTTGAGCATTACAACAGTCTTGTGAGGTAGATCCCACCACTGTTGCCATTGTACTGATGAAAAAATCTAAGCCGAAAAAAATGTAGGTCCCATTCCCAGGGTTACCTCCAGGCCCAAGGGCTCTACTCCCAGTCCTTCTCATCATTGTACCACCTTGTGTATACCTAAGGGTTTAGGCAAAGAGCCCCACTGTTTATTTGGCAGCGTCTGAGGTGGCCTTTACTTTGCTAATAAGACAGAAAGAATAACCTAGGGCCCACAGTAACCCTGGGCATCTCTGACCTCCTTGGTGATAGTAGGAGCCTGAAAAAATATCCCCTGAGTAGATATAATATTTCTGAAGTTGATCAAAGCGAATACCCTGCAGCGTGAAATGCATCTCTTTCCTTCGTTATATTTTGCCTTCCAGTTCCTTTTGAAGCTCAGAACCACAGTTGACCTTGTTATTGCCTTGCAAAGAAAAATTCACTGAATAGTTTAACTCCTACAGTAGTCCAGGTCTTTGTGACTAATATGCAATGTAGAAAGCATGGTATGTTTGTTCTGGAAATGGTGTTGACCTCTCTTTTTTCCCTCCAAATAAAAATCCAATGGTTACACCATTGACTGAGAATCCAAGTCCAAATTGTTTCCTTGGCAGTCACCTGGCATCAGCCCAGGTGGAGAACAGCATGATATCCCTTCCATCAGAAACAGAGTCAACTCACGTGTTCAGTTAAGGAGTGAGACTGCACATGGTGGCTCCTGCCTGTAATCCCAGCACTTTGGAAGACTGAGGTGGGAGGGTCGCTTGAACCCAGGAGTTCAAGACCAGCCTGGGCAACATAGCAAGACCTTGTCTCTACAAAGAAGTAAAAGAAAAAAATTAGCCAGGCATGGTGGCACATGCCTCTAGTCTTAGCTACTGAGAAGGCTGAGGTTGAAAGGATTGCCTGAGCCCAAGAAGTCAAGTCTTCAACGAGTCATGATCACACCCCTGCCCTGCAACCTGGACAACAAAGTGAGACGCTGACTTAAAATAAAGAAAGAAATGATTAAGGAAAGCACAGGCTGTGCAGTGAGGCTTTGCCAACCAGGGTCAGGGGTTCCACCTAAAATAAGAGGATCCAGTTGGGAGGAAGTGGGCAAGGGCTCTTGGCCACCAATGCTGGAGCAGCTTATGGGACTTGAGCCCCATGGAGGCTGTGTCTGACTTGCACTGTCCCTTCCTTCCAGGGACAAGGCCCCTGGACAGAGGGAGTGTGACTACTCCATTGATGGCATCAACCGGTGTATCCGGGACATTGAGCAGGCCTCACTGGCTGCCGTCAGCCAGAGCCTGGCCACGAGGGACGACATCTCGGTGGAGGTAAGCTGGGGCTCTGGGGGTCTGCTCAACACCCGCCAGAGGGGTTAAAGAATCTCAGCATCTGGATTTGAGGGGTGGAGGTCGTGGACCCAACGTGTTTCCAATGTTACCGTTTTACCATTAGGCAGCCTTCCCCTGTGCACTGTGGTGGAAGTAAGTCCCTCCCCTCGGGAGAACTTTCTGGAGAGAGTAGAGCAGGTGCTGAGCAGAGAAAAACGGCTTGAGGAAGGAATACACCTCCTGCTGGGGTGGCAAGTTCAAATGCGACTGAAATTTGGGGGGGGAAACTGTCAATATCAGGTAATGTAGGGGTAAAATGTGTACCATATCTGTTTTGACACATCAATAGAGCAGACCTAAGCAAGTACATTTTGGATGTCTAGCTCATCATTTTCTCAGTGCACTTTTGGGTTAAATTGGCAAATTCAGCATTAAACTCTGACACATTTGGTCCATTCTGCCCAAATTATTCAACATCTAGTGTTTGAGGACCTTTGGCCTCTAGTATTAATTTAAAACTGCTTTGCCCTCTTTTGCTGTTCCCCGCCCCCCCCCAGAAAAGAATTTAGAGTAGAATGTTTCTCATTTTTCCCCTTGGATTTGTTCTATTACCCTTCCCAAGGCTCCTGATTCATTCTGTCTCTGTTGAAAGCGCAGTGCTTGACACTCAGAAGAACCCTTAATAAATAGCATGGTCTGTTGATTGGTGTTGACCTTCTGGCCACTAAATCCATTAACAGCCAGCTTTGGGTCCAGAGTTGGTGTTGCTCATTTTATGAATAGAACTGTCTATTTTACTCCAGCTTCATCTCCCATTTCCAAAAAAAAAAGAAGGGTATATGTGCTTTCACACTGTGTGGAATGCTAGAGTTCTTCTTTGTAACCTGCTGTTAAATTATATGCATACAGACGTGTGTACTACTTGATGAATCATCACGAACCGAACATGCCTTTTAACTAGCACCCAGATCAAGAAGCAAAGACGACTGACCCCTTGGAAGTCCCTTCAGAGTATATTTCCATCTTACCTTCCTCACGAGAAAGAAGATTCTTTCCCTTCAACCTCATGCACTCTCTAATCACACCATAGTTAGCAAACCATCTGTAATAAGACAACGTTGCTAGAATGTTTTTGTATTCTTGACTCTAATCATGTTATAAAGGTGAAGATCATGTGTTGTTAGCTAAATAAAACCCTTGGACTTCTTGGAAGTTTCTCTCTGCTCACCTTTCTTTCTCTCTCTCTCTTTCCTTTTTTCTTTTTCTTTTTACAGAATTTTGTTTTCTAGTTTGCTTGTTCGGCTGCTCCTCATAAAAGAAACTCTTTCCCTCCTTCCCCCAATCCCTGGGCCATATGTAGCGTTGTTCTGTGGGAAAGTAGCAAAGGCTTGAACCTCATTTCTGATGAGCAGGACATCACCACTTTGTCAGAGATCACCCACTTTCATGCCGGTGTGTGCAGACCTAAAATGCCCAGTATTCTGATCTGTCGTCCTGTGTCTGTCCAGTGAAGATCCTAGGAGTCACCCTACAGAAGGATGTGATCTTTCCTGCTACTGGTTAAGCATCTTTAGCTTTGAATTTCCCACTCCCTTACACTCTCAGAATCATCTAAAAATCTTGCTCTCTCTTCACAGTACAATTCAATTCTTTGGGGGTAGAGAGATTAAACCACCTCTCAAACCTGAGAAGAAATGCCTTGAGGGTACCATTTTGACTATTTTCATGCACACCACCAAATAAAGTAGATGGAGAGTCTGAGCTAAATCCAGTGGGTATCTTGCTTGGCATTTCCACAGTATACTTTCTGGGACGTCATCCTGCTTCCAAAGAGCTCATCTCCTTTTATGTCACTCCCCTTTAAGAATAAAGGGGCTATTAGTTCTGAGAATACAGCAACCTGAATGTTTCCTCAGCCCCACATTAGCTGTCTCCATTTGGACAAAGCTGTCTTTCCTTCTTGGAAAGACACAGCTGTTCTACGTGTCCAGTAATTATGCTGAATAACCCAAAGTAGAGCTACCCGTCGCATCAGCTATCAGGGTTGGCAAGAGCGAGAAGCCAGTGGGAAAAGTGACTCTCAGACCTGCCTTTTGTCTGTCACAGGAGGAACCGTAGAGGGGTCCAGCCCGTGGAGGCCAAGGCATCGCTGGGAGGACCAGGACAGGGAGCAATGGCTGGATGGCATATGCCCAGGCATTTTGCTGTCCATTTCACATGGCCTCTCTCATCTTTCATATGGGCCTTTTTGAATCAATGTGGCACCCCGGGGAACTGTTGTGGGGTGAACTTGGCAATTCTCTCCTCACCAGGCCCTGCAGGAGCAGCTGACGTCAGTGGTCCAGGAAATCGGGCACCTTATTGATCCCATCGCCACAGCGGCTCGGGGAGAGGCAGCCCAGCTGGGACATAAGGTAATGCACCCTGAGGGGACCCCGCTGAGGGCAGGCATGGCCACAAGAGAGGAGGTCTGACTTTGCCGCTAGGCTCCCAAAAGCCTGCAGTACTGAGTAGTATGCCTGGGTCTGTCGTTGGTTTGACCTGCAGGAAATCACCAAACTGCCCTCTGGCAGCCTCTCCGGCAATGATCACTTCAGGCTCTGTTTTCACCTAGAGTTGAGAAAAAACTGCAGTGACGGTTTTCTGGCTGTGGTCATACTGTAGCCAGCTAGACATTTGCAAACATCAGTTGCTCTCCCCCTTTGCTGAAATAAGCCAGAGACCGACCGACGTTGGCACTCCCAGCCTGAAACCTTGCCATCTTTTGACCCTGCTGGCTGGCCCCATTCTGGTGTGTTGAAGGGCACATTATTCTTCCATGGTTTTCAACATGGCATCTCTTCTACGTGATGAAACAAAGCAAACTTCACCCTGGACAACCAAACCCTCCCTAGGAGGCCACTGCAGAGAGGTCCTTCCCCTGGGGGGGTCATACCCAGATTGTTTTAGGTGCTGAATGATGGTTGACCTGTTTGGGGTTCATTCTGTGAATCCCTCAAGGAGACCTGGCTGGTCATGCAACTAGTGCCTCCAGGCCAGAAGTTGGATTTTTAACAACCTTCAGGGTTTTCTGGCATTTTATCAGTGCAGGCTTCAGGATCGACATGCATAGGAAGAAATGCAGTGGCCAAAATCTTCTCTACAGGTATTGATTTTTAGAAAAATCAATGTTCTCACTTTTTCAAATGACAGAGTAGCTTGAGAGCCTACTAACCTTTCCTACCGGTTTTCAGGAGGGCCAGTATCTCTCTGCCTTTTCAAGTGTGGCACATTGAGTTTTTAGTTGAGTTTCTCTTATGGTAACCGTCTGCCTGTGTGAAGAGGTCTGATGGGGTAGACGGATGGCCTGGAGGCTGGGGCCACTGCCTCTGTGTCCATCTCAGAGACACAGAGTGTAGCAAAGAAGCCAGACATTGTTTCAGCAGTTACTTTTGCTTCCTTTGGACATTGTATAAGAAAGTATGTCTGGATATCTTTGGAGGGCAATATCCATGTCTCTGCAGATACTTTATTAATATGGAATGTTAATTAATTGCCACCCCGCTATATTTCCTATGTTAGTGGGTAGCATCAAGAGGAACATATTCACGTCACTTGACTTATAAATGTACTCTGGGCCCTTTGGCTGAATCAGCCTCATCTGTTTGTTTTTTGCCTTTGTTTCTACCTCTTCTAAAAGAGAGTTTTGGACAAGGGTAGCCTGTGGGCTTCTCCAGAGGAGCTGTGGGCTGAAAGGCAGCTCCCATGTGTGTCCTGCCCTTCCTTCCCCTCCTTCCGTATCCGTGGGGCTTAGCTTGGCAGCACCTGGGGGTGATAAGTGCAGATTCTCAGCCCATGGCTATGTTCGTTTTCTGTGGCTTCAAACAACAGAAATCTGTTGTGTCATAGCTCTGGAGGCCAGGACTTCAAAATCAAGGTCCCCGCCGGGCTGTGCTCCCTCTGGAGGCTGTTGAGCGATTCTCTGGAAAATCTGCTCTTGGCTCTTGCATCTTTTTGTGGCTCCTGTCACTCCTCGACTGTCATGCCGATCCCTGCCTCCATGATCTCACTGTCACCTGCTCTTGTCTGTGTCTCTTCTTCTGTTTCTTATACAGAGATTTCTCAGTTAAAAAAAAAATTTGGCAAGGAAGATTCAAATGACTCGGTGCTATTACTAATCCCCATTTTACAGATGAGGAACTCTTGTTGGTGGGGTTAGAGCCCACCCCGTAATCCAGGATGCTCTCATTTCAAGATCCTACGTCTCCGAATACCCTTTGTCCAAATGAGGTCGCGTTCCCACATTCCATGGACTTGAACATGGACATATCTTTTGAGGGGCCAACATTGAGCCCACTATGCCCCTCTCCAGACCTAGGAATCAACATCATGTACCAAAGATTCAAAGTTCCCTGTTATTTTAACTTATGTGCTAACCCACGTGAGGATGTTTCCTGTTCTGTCATGTCTCTCGAGAACAAAAGGTATTAGAATCCTTGCTAAGAGGGTGAGATTGGCAGAAGCTAGACACTGCTGGGGTTGGAGGGGGCAGGAAAGCGACATACGACCACATACTGGATGCTTGGTCTGCCATTGGGGGAGAGAGGGCCAGCTAGAAACCCAAGCTTTGCCTGCATGTAATCTACTTAGGTAGGAAATCCCCATTTGTACCCCCAACCCTAGTAATAGTAATAATAAAATAATAATAATAATAAAAGTCCTTCCTAAGCTCCCTAAATACAGGGAAAAAGCACATCCCTTCAGAGCCTTTGCAATATGTGGAATAACAACACCTAGCACTTACTGAGTGCTTGCTATATGGCAGAGATTATGGTAAGAACTTTCCTGTACTTTCAACCTCTTGATGAGCTTGATGCTATTATTAATACCCACTTCACAGATAGATGAGAAAACTGAGTTTAGTCATATGAAGCATTTTACCAAAGAGTTCTCAATAAGGCATTGGCAGGGAGGACTTAGATCCAGTGGCTGTGCAGCTGGGCTGACATTCTTCACCCAGCCATTCTACCTCCATGAGGATGTCAGGCCCTTGTTGCATTTAGTTATTCTTGGCACACAGCGAACCTTGACGTGAGACAGTCACATGGATGGAGTATATTTTTAAAATAATAAAACTAGTCTGAAAAACATGTAAGATTCTAATGCATTATGCATTTTGACTCTCTCTTTAGTACATAAAGGACGCATCCTGAGCCCTGAGCCCTGACTCCTGACCCCTGGTGACCCATCAGGGCCCCTTTCCCCTTGGTGATGACACCAGTGCCCTTCCTGGGGAAGGAGAGGAGATCGAATGCAAGTGTGTAGGACTGCTGCCTGTGGTGATGCAGGCTGGGCCCTACACAAAGGTGTTTGACTGGAGTGGAGAGTGGGGGCTAAAATTCAGCCTGCGCCCTGCTCACCAAGCCACGTACCCTGGCGTTGGCCATGTCTGCCCCAAGGACCCCTTTAAAATTCGCCCAAAGACACCCTACAGGCCAGCGACAGCCCTGTTCACATGTCCTGAAAACTCTCTGTAGGATAACTGTAGTGGAGGATAACAGAGTATAAATGTGTTTATTGCTGTAACAGTCTTGTCTGGGATTAGCTGTAGTGAAGTTTTATTGTTTGGACACCTTGGCCCAGCCACTGCCTCTCGTAATCCTTCGTGCCCAGCTCAGTTTCTGGCCCAGTGATTGCTCGATGGAGTGGCCTTCCCGCCTGCGTCCCCACAATACTCGTTCTTCTTCCACATGATGAGAAGTAGCATTAAAAGGGAGTTGCTGGATACAGATTTGTGCTTAAATACCCTTGGTGGGAATAATGTAGCCTTTATTCATTACCATGCAGAATGAGGAGTTCAACAGGAAAATGTGATTCGTGCTATTGTGTTTTATGTGAGTGGGGATAGATCCTGGTATTTAAATAAATATACAAAATGTGAAAATCTGACATTCTAGATTCTAGGTAGGTGCTGCTGTATTATTCTCAGACTTTATTTTTTAAATATTTTCCAAGGCAGCAAATACCAAATGATAAACTAAAGTCCAGTGTTATAACAGCAGCAGAACTGGAATCAAAATGAAAAGTGACAGAGACAGCAGAGTGGGGCCGTGAGGGCCGGGGCTATGGAGTTCGACCCCGGCCAGTGTCTTACCTGTCAGCTGCGTGAGACCAGTATGCAGCTCTACCCATCTAAGCCTCAGTTTCTCATTTGTGTCTACCTCTTAAAATTATTGTGGCAGTTAAGTGGAGAAATGCATGCTAAATGCTTAGCAGAGAGCCTGACATACGGGGTGCACCCAATAAATATCTGTGGCTCTTGGCCCACAGCACCCAGGGGTGGCAGGCTTTGGTGAGCATATACACATGTATGGTATTGCCCTCTGGGACTAGGCCTGTTCTGGGGCAGCGGATAGCTGTTGTGACAGGCTTTTTTGTTCTCCCAGGTTGGGTGAATGATAAACAGAACATCTCGACTGATGTGAAGTTATCTGTGCTTTCATTTTGAATCAAGGCTTGGTCAAACTGCTGGGGGCAGGATGGTGTTGCGATTGGCTTCCCACAAAGCTTTTGAAGGTTCCTTTCATCTCAGGCTTTTTTTTTCTTTTTCTCTTAGTTCCCCTGCTACTTTGGCCCTCTTCAACTTCCCCTTTCTTCCAAGTTTATAAGGTGTCTTTGGTTCTTTAACATGCTTTTCATTTGTAAAAATGGATGATTTGTGAAACTGAATTCAGTTCTCATCTCTAACTCTGGATCTCAGAACGGGTTTCTTTGCACTTCTGCCGTATTTAGAGGAGAGATGAGGAACTCCCCAAAGGAGGTAAAGATCAAGCAAGAGTCCGTTAATTAGAAAGTACTTTAAACAGTAAATTGTAGTAGATCTGCTTGCCCTGTGAGTCGGCCCAACTCCCCACCCCCCGACCCCGTCTTACCCTCCCCACCGTGGTACCCCTGAAGGAGACAAGTGTATTTATATGGTCCATCTGTGTGTTTTTTGGGTTTTCTTCTTTGAAAGGTGACACAGCTGGCGAGCTACTTTGAGCCCTTGATCTTAGCCGCAGTTGGTGTGGCCTCCAAGATTCTCGACCATCAACAGCAAATGACGGTGCTGGACCAGACCAAGACACTCGCAGAGTCTGCCTTGCAGATGCTGTATGCAGCCAAAGAAGGTGGCGGAAACCCCAAGGTATGGTCCAGAATGTCAGGGACTTAGGACAACTAAGAAGCCATCATACATTCCTCCTGTATTGTGTCACTCCTGGGGGAAAAAAACACCTCCATTTCTCCTTTGGTGGCAATTGAGTGCCCATTCTAAGGAGGGAAATACTCTTCTGTTGTCTTTCCCTTTAAGGGGAAAATGAAGAAATAGAAATAACTAAGGCATATTGTAAGTTAATTTTTTCCTTGACAGAATGCCTAGATAAACATCCTTAGGGAAGAAAAATGGACGGTGTGGTTATTACAGGAATGAAAACTAATACTTGTTGGATACCTGCTCAATGTTGACACCCGCCTTGCACAAAGGAGAGCTCTGTGGTTTTCCAGTGAATGTCAGTCACTTCTGTTCCTAGTAATTAAGAGACTGTAGTTTGCTATTAAAATCTTCCTTACCAGTTTGCAAGAGGAATATTTCTTCAGCCTGTTGTGTTACCCCACTGCTTTAAGGCGTCAAAGATGACAACAGCCTGTCATGGATGACCTTGCATCACGTTTTGCTTTGAACTTGGGAACTTGGGAAGAGGAAACAACAGATGCAAAGGGGTAGCTGAGGATACCAGAGGATTGGGATATCTTCAGAACATAGCGAGCAGTCTGATGTATCTGGCTCACGCAGAATGTGGGGACAATCAGATGGGAGAATGAATGACTGTATTGGGACAGGTCTCTTGTTCCACGCTGAGAAATTTGGCCTGTGAGCAGTGGAAGCCATGGATGGTCTTAAGAAGGGAAACTACACAACCAATTCATATTTTAGAAACATCACACTGATGGAAGCATGAATAATGTCTTGGACTTATAGTCTCTTTTCCTTTTTTTTTTTTTTTGTTGAGATGGGGACCTCACTGTGTCACCCAAGCTAGTTCAAACTCCTGGGCTCAAGTGATCCTCCCACATCAGATTCCCAAGTAGCTGGAGCTGCAGGTGTGAGCCACAGCACCCGGCTTGGACTTTCATTTTCAATGTTCAGTTTTTCATTCTTGTATCTGGCAATCATTAAGAGCCTCATTCTGAGGGTGCTAAAATAATAAGAGTCAAGTGTCCCCAAGTTGTCCAGAATCTTTTGGAAAAATAAGCCCAGTTGTTGAAGTGCTAGGATAGAACAGGAAGAACAAAGAATGCCATTTTGACTGTGACAGATAACACGATGGTGCCCGAAAGTCAGCCCAGCTCCCCTCGCCCCCTCCCCAAACTGGAGGAGCTGAACTTTCCTTTCTGACTCAGTTCTAGGTTGTCTCTTCTCTGGGCTGTTTCCTGCCACATGTCCCCACCCCTACCTGAGAGGGTTTCAATGTCAGTAAAATAATCCGAGGAAGGAGTTTTCTGGTTTTTCAGACACTAGCACATCTGCTTGGACTGCAGATATGGATTCTAGGTGGAAGGGTTATTGCTCAGAGCTCCTCGTGGAATTTGATTTTGTCCCAAGGAACCTCATGGCATACCCAGCCAGCACTGTGTGCTTCAATAACAGCCGCTGCTTGGAAATAATGTCTAGTATAGTTTTCTGCCCATGTGAAATAGTTTTCAGTGAATGCCAGAAGCATTGGATGATGGAGTAAGACGTGCTTCATGAAGGTCAGAAAGGTAATCACTCCTCTCCCTCACGGTTCTCATGCAACCCACACTCTGTCTGCAAACTCTGACAGGCACTCCCAGAGAACACCTGGGAGGCTACTACATATTTGCTTTTTCAGACCCTTTCCTAAGGGTCTGATGCACAGACTTAATCAACTTGGATGTTGTTCTTTGGGCAGATATTTACTAGGTTTTATTTGCTATGTGTTAGGTATGATCTATTCCTGCTTGCAGAGGAAGTAGAGCTAAAATATTGTTAAATAGTTATGGGTAGCTTTGATTTGGTGAAAAATAGCACCAGTTTTGCGGTGAGACTTAATTGGATTCAAATCCCAGCTCTGCATCTTGCTAACAGATGACTTCATTCTGTGATTCCTTGCATAAGCAATAGGATTAATTATGAATACCTCCCTAGGATGGTTGTGGAGATTAAATGAGATAATGTGTCTGACAGTAGGTGTTTAAAAAAAAAAAGTGGCAGCCCTAGCACCTGGTGTTGATTAACTCGGTGTTTGTCTAGCTATTTGCTGTGTAGCCTCACCCTCCCCAGCTCTCTTCTACACTGTTCCCAGTCCCTGGAGCTCCCTCCCACATTCACCCCTACCCCACGAGCTCCCTTCTGCGCTGACCCTACCCTGTGAGCTCCTGTCTACTGTCATCCCTACCCCATCCAATCCCCTTCTCCAGCATCCTTGATGTTCTCTATAGCTTCTGCCTGTCACATTCCAGCAAAAACACAACCCTGTCCACTACTGGAAAGTTCTAATTATTCATTGTTTCTTCTCCTCCTCTGCTAAAGTTGAAATTCATCCCCCTGCAGCCTTTTCCCATTTTCCATACTCCTGTGATGTCTGCGCCTGCTATCCTGGGCTTTGTAGTTGAAGCGCTGGAGTAAAGAAACAAGGCTCCCTTGGAAGCAGACTTCAGATGTGTGTCCAAAAAAGAACGGACTGTGATTTTCCTCATGTGTGGTGCCATGAGGCGCAGTAACAAGGAACCCCTTCCAGAATCTAAAATAATGACCTCATTGTTGGGCCTACTGACTCCTCTCACCAGATTTCTGTTGGTCGTTTAAACATGCCTTAATTGAGGTCCAGCTGTGTCTTTGGGTGTCTGAAACTGTTGAGCTCAGCTAGCAGGCATATCTGATTTGAGACTAGGCTGTCTAATAAAGATGAGACTCGCCTTTGGAGCTCAGAAGAAAAGGTCTAGATGAGACCTGAAGTAATTGGAGGAGGCTTCACAGAAGAGGTAGACTCTGAGCTGACCTTCTAAGGATCTGTAAAACTTAAACACGAGAAGTGAAGGAGAGCAGGTCTTCTAGGGAATTCATCAGTATGGGTGGACGGGAAAGTAATTCACTTCTGGGATAGCCAAGAGCTAGGATATGTTTTTATAGATTTCAGTGACCTGGTACAGTGCAAGTGTCCTTTAAATTTCCCATGGAGTTCAAAGAGCAGTGTTGTGATTAACCAAATATGCTTTTGATGCTTTCCTAAGCCCACTCAAGGGAGCAGATCCTTGGCAAGTGACGCTCACCTCTCCCCTAAAACGTGTCCTTAGTTTTAACATGAATATATATAGTGACTGGCATTTTTGTATCTCTAGCGGTCATCTTGTTCTGAGACTTAGAGAAATACATCCTTTCCATTTCACCTTCTGTATGAATGAGAATGTATTTGTACAAGATGTTCCTTCTGGGTGGTATGTGCAGTGAATATCTATCACCTTTCAGACATCTATTATCAAAATAAAGCAATCTGCACATTTTGTGTTTTACCCTCTCTGTGCCATGAAATCAACTATCAACCTAAATTCCCATTTTACTCCATTCATCCTGAATAGAAAGATCTATGCATCCTGCCAGTTACCTCAAAGGTAACCATTCATGGTCAACATATTTTACATCTCATCAGATGTCATGTTTGAAGACCTCTTTTTGCTTTCCACAGCTTTTCAATTCAGACAGAGCCAGTTTCTATGGTTCACATAGCCTCTGGGAATTCTCTCGTGTTTAGAAAATCACTCAAAAGAGTTGTCATTTACCATTTTCCACTGGCTTCCTTATCTTCTCATCTACCAAAGAAAAGATGCAATACCTTGGCCCTTGGAAGTGGTGGCCCAGGACACCATAGCCACTGCATAGACCCAGCATGTTGGTACAGCGCAATTCTGATACTACCTGGCGATGGGTCGGATTCCTCAAGATGAGGACACAGTCCCCTACTTGTCTACCCTTGAGGACACAGTCCCCTACTTGTCTACCCTTCGTATAAATGATAAGTTTCCTGCACCCATGTCATCTCATCAGAATTTCACTGCACAGTGTTGTTAACGATTAGCCCCATTCACTCAGAAGGAGGCCAAGTCCAGGGCCACTTACCTAGGTGGCAGTCGAACCAAAGCTAGAACCCAGTTAGGCAGATCCCACACCTTGGCTCTTTCTCCAACTGTTGCCATCACTTGAGGTGTCTTCCATTGAACCCAGCACAGCCATTGTTTCATTTTTCATTCATTCATTTACCCAGCTCCTATTCTGTGCTTGACACATGTGTGAAACACCTGCTCCGAGCTACTAAGGAATGCGTGAATACTCAGGGCTGTGCCTGCAGAACCTCCATCCTTGGAGCACTTTCCTCGTTTGTTCCTCCAACCTCATGGCAATATAATTTGTGGCATCATTTCGAAACCTTTCAGGCCTTCCACAGATGTATTTCTTGTGTGTATACCTATATTTTCATCATCCAGTCTTATCTGTAGAAAGGGAATTCCTAGTGTGTTGGGCAACTTTCAAGGGAAGTGTATTTGTTATGAGCACATTTTTCCTTTATATTGTTATATGTATCAACTTGTATATTTAGGAACCTGTGGCACCAACAGTTTTATATGTTTCCACAGTAACATATAAAATTAGTCATGTCATAAGACACTGTTTGATATTACAGTTTTATTTTCCAATTGTAAAAAGGGATCTTTTTCTTATTATCTTTCTAATTTTATTTACTCTGCAAACAATGGATGCACATAAACAAGGAAAGGGAAGATACAGGATACATTGCTGTACTCTCTCATGGGGATAATGGTTTTATGTTTCGCTTTTTAAGGCTATTCTTAAAAGAAATGAAGTGATTCTTAAAGGACTGAACGCCACTTTCTTCTGCTCATGGAAGTGTTTCATGATCCCCTTTTCAGGCACAGCACACCCACGACGCCATCACCGAGGCCGCCCAGCTGATGAAAGAAGCCGTGGATGACATCATGGTGACGCTGAACGAAGCAGCCAGTGAAGTGGGGCTGGTGGGGGGCATGGTGGACGCCATCGCAGAGGCCATGGGCAAGGTGGGCGTGCCTCCCGGGATCCTCCTTGACTCGATCTCCTCCCTCTTCTCCCTCAGACGTGGGCCTTGCATGCCTTTCTCTAAGCAGCTGGCTGGCCGTGAAGGCTGCTGCCAACAAGCCTCTTCTTTTCTTGAAGGGTCTGGTTAATGCATGGATGTCCAGTCATATAGCCCACATATACATTCATTTTTTAGTATGTAGTACATTACTTTTGTAAACCAGTCGCACCCTTCCTTCCAGTTTTACACGGGGAAAAAAGATGGCGGCCAAGACAATATCATAGTTGTCCTCACTGGTGAAATGAAAATAATTCTTTCATTCCCCTGTCTACTTCCTGGGGTTGTTGTGGAGAATGAACTCCACAATGAAATAAAGAAGTGATTCCCAAGTGCCACTTTCTGGAATGGCTACTTTGGAATCATAGAGCTTTAAGAATGTAATACCAAGGCTCCACCCTCACCTGCTCAATTGGAATCTCTGTTTGTCCTTTTAAAATCTCCCCCATGGTTCTGGTGTCTAGCCAAGTGCAGAAACCACTGACACGGTGTACATGAAAGCCCTTGGCGAACTCCTGCAGGCTACTGACACAGAAGGCAACACGGGTACCACCTTCTCATTTACTGCCCATCAATTGAGTTGGGTCAGTAGGGACATGTGACTGGAGGCGATTCCAACACCCTATCTCCTGCTCTCTGTCAAGGAAACTAGTCAAGTCAGTTTGCGATTCATTAGAATGAACATTCAGCAGCATCTAATTGCCATCCTGTGATAGAATTTGAGGCATCATCAGTATTTTGAAAAGTCCATTGTCAGCTCGTGAATATATTAATATGGTTTTTCAGGATAATAAGCAGTCTTTAATTGCTAATTTAGAGAAAACCGGTTGTTCATATCTTCATAATAAAAGATACACTGAAACCATAATTAGAATAATTATCCTTAAGCATTGTGCAGGCATTGTCAGACTGATCAAGTAACAAGTCCAAGCTGGAATGCCGCATCTTCCTGTAAAGACTCCAGGCTCCACTTTGTCAAAGTATTCGTTAATTTCTGCCCTGGGTTCCTCATGCTTCAAATGTGGACAGTTTGGCAGAAAATGAGTGAAACTTCTCTCTTCCTCAAGGACCTTGGATAAGTCTCAGTGGATTTGTTTGGTTTTCAGGACCTCAGAACACCAGAGCTCTGGAAGTAAGCTCCCTGTCCTTGTTCTCTACCAAGGACATTCGATCATAGAGACCAGTGTTTCCTGGTACAAATTAGAAATGTCAGTGATAGCCTTTTTCTTGGAAGAAGGAATTTTTCAAAATCATTCTAATGTGAGGGAAACATTCCATAAATCCCTAGAAAATAAAAGTCAGATCCCAAAATCTTTTTTCTTTTTTGTTTTTGGTAGCTCAGAGCCTGCCGCACTGTGATGGGCCATGAATCAGGAGAGCAGATCCGGCACCACCTGCTGTCAGTAGTTTAGCAGATGCTCTCTCAGCCAAGGACCCGCTCGGTTCTCCTAGAAGGGCTGGGAAATAAGTCTGTCATTACCTGAGAGCAGTTATTAGGAAACGCTCTTCTGAAAGGATAGAACTGGGGTTTCATCGGTACCCCTAAACTCTTATCTACCCCAGACTGACATCCAGGGTACCACACACCACCTTTTCCCTAGCCTGTCATTGGCAACTTCATATTGAGTGGCATTTCAGGTCCTTTGGGCCCCCATGCAACGTGACGCTGAAAAGCTAGCATTTTCTCGGAGTTTCGTTAATTTGGTTAGAACACTGAGATACCATTAGAATCGTTATCCAAAATTCTCAAAGGAAGTGAGCAGCAGAAAAATGTGAGCGTACCCAAAGTTGATTGCAACTTGGATGCGATTCGTGACACGTTGGGGGCTTGTGCCATGGAGGTTCTCTTTGAGATTCTCTCTCTCTGTCTTAGCACTAGAAGGTTTGGGAATTGATAGGTAAGGATGAAGTAATCTGCTTTCTGGGTGAGCTCAGACAGGTCACTCAAGCTTTCTGAACCCTGGCTTTCTTATGTTATAGTGGGATCTTACGGGATTTGGTGATGAATATCTTTTCTTTGTTGGTTTTGTTTTTGTTTTCTTTTTGGCCAAGAAAGAAAACTATAAAGAAACAAAACAAACAAAACCCCTGCTATCTACATCACTGCTGTTTTATAAAAAGAAAAAAAAAGGGGTCATGTTGGCACCACAATAAAAAGAGGAGGCTATAATGTCAGAATAAAGGAATGTTCTTTCAACTAAATCAAGTTGAAATCCTAAAAAACTCACTAGTTTGTTCTTGCTCTTCCCACTGGTTAAAGGTTCTTCATGGTGCCTGGTGGCTACTGGCTAAGAGCTCCGAGCTGCCCCCAGCAGCCTGGCATGTTGGCACTAACACCACATCTCACATGAAAACTCCTGACTGGGTGCAGTGGGCCCATGCCTGTAATCCCAGGACATTGGGAGGCCGAGGTGGGAGGATTGTTTGAGCTCAGGAGTTTGAGGCCAGCCTGGGCAACATAGTGAGACCTTGTCTCTATCAAAAAAAAAAAACCCACCAAAAAATTAGCTGGGTGTGGTAGCTTGAGCCCAGGAGGTCAAGGCTGCAGTGAGCTGTGATTGTGCCACTGTACTCTAGTCTGGGCAACAAAGTGAGACCCCCCCCAATCATTCGTCAATAAATACATACATATGTAAGAAAACTCCTAACATGTGGCCTGACACTTAGAAGACGCCCAGACCATCTATGCCAAGTGAATGAGTCCACATCTGGTAAGCAGTGCCCTGTGCTGTAAAGGGGATACTTGGCAGCATCTAGCTGCCTGGTAAGCAAAGCTCAAAAGTGTTGATAGGTGAAAATTACGTCCCAAGCTGGGCAACCATATCATGTGTAAGCTACAGTGATATGTTCCTTTCACCCACAGTATAACTTGTGCCTGCTTATGATATGTAGCTCTTATTGAAGGCTCTGACATCTAATCTGACATATGAGCTCTTGTCCCCTGGTCTCTTCCCTGACTCCAAATCATACGATATGGAACTGCCAGAGAGATTCTTCTCAAATATGTCATTGCCTACCCCAGATCCCACCACCTTCATCATGATTTCAAGGGTCTCCATAAAACAGATCCAGCTTCATTCTCACTGCTCTCGGCATCCCCCTTCTGTTCAGGTCAGGCTGACTTCTGTAGGCTTGTACTTCCTTTTTTCATTTGCGTTCGCCTTGTCTCCCCAGCTGGAATAACTTTCAGCAGCCTGTGGTGACAGTAACAATGGTGGTGGTGGTGGTGGTGGTGGTGGTGGTGGTGGTGGTGATGCCGGGTTGCCTTTTTCTTATCCTAGTCGTCCTTATCATCATCATCTTCCTCTTCATTATCACAGTCTTCACCTCCTCTTCCTCTGTAGTTCTTGACCAGGTATAGCTTTGAGTTTTACTGTAGCCATGGGATGGTTGGAAGTTAGCGGTGAAGGACTTGAGTCCTGTTCAGAAGCCCTGCAACCAGGTCTTGGATACAAGTCTTCTGAACCAGGATGTCCCCAGCTCTTCAAGGGACCCAGTTCTCCATCTTCACTCTTCCACCTCATCATGGGCTTACCCTGCTCTTAGCCCCATCTGTACTTCGAGTCAGATGAGCAGCAACATATTCCCAGTGCCTCCAGTTCCTCTGTTCTCTGACTTAGCTCATAAGTAAGGGACCCAGGGTGTAGACACCCATGGGCTATACTATTCCTAGGGAGGTGCTTCCTGATGGAGAGTCTGCCTTCTCTCCCACCTCGTCTCCCTGCACTTTATACTTCCCTAGACATGTCCGGCTCACTCCACCTCCATGTGTTTGGAAGCTGTTCCCTTTTCCTGGGACACCTTCCCCACCTTTTATATGTGGCGTGCTCCTCCTCACCTGCTAAGACTTGGCTGAAGCATCATTCCTCTGGAAGTCCTCCAGCTCCTCTCATGGCAGAGGGCTTCTCCTTGCTGATGTGTCCCGAATGTCTCATGAGCACTTCTGCTGAAGCCCTTGTCGCGGAAGTTGGGTAATTCTGTTGACTCTAGGCCAGAGACTCTCTGAGGGCCTTTCTGGTTTTCATAGTTTATAGTTCTAGTTAATGCAGTCCACACTTGACCAGGCTTCTTATGACTTTTGTGTTCTTTCTCTCTCCTCTGTAGTTGGATGAAGGCACTCCTCCAGAACCAAAGGGAACATTTGTCGACTACCAGACGACTGTGGTTAAATACTCCAAAGCCATTGCGGTAACAGCTCAGGAAATGGTAAGAGGAGAAAGAGCCGCCCTCCCCACCATTGGTTGCCCTTTTGTCCACCACCACCACCAAGTCTCCAAATTTTGGAGAGAGAGACCAGTCCACGTCTCTAGTCCCTCCTGGGCTCCAGCTTCTGTCCTTTATCTGTGGTCCTTCTGGCTGCCTGTGTCCCTGAAGCCCCGGTGTGCTAGAGTCCTCATTTCATGAGAAAGCTACAAGAGAGAATTCAAGATTACTAAGACTTGGGCATGAGGACAGGGGAGCAAAGGAAGGAGAGAAAATGAGAGAACGATGAAAATGAGAAGGAATTTGAAGTTAAGGAGAAAGAGGGGGAACGTCCTATTCGCTGCTCAAAGCATGTGAGGTGTTTTTCTAGATTAAAAGTGCAGTACAAGAAAAGGTATCCTGGGATAGAACAAAACAGAGATTGAGATTGTCTGACAGGATCCAATCATAACACTTGCATAATAAGGTATTGCTTGCCTTTCAGGCAAAATGAGACATCATGGCTATGTGTAAAAAAAAAAAAAAAAAAAAAAAAAATTCTGACGATAAGAGGCAAATCACTTTTGGTGGGTTTTTTGGTTTTTTCTAAAATGTGACACAGACCTGTATATATGGATCCTCAGTTATAAATGGCATTAAGAGACAGTGAATACTGTCTTGATAAAGTAAACAGCTATACAAAAGATGACAAGCGGTGTCCTCAAAGAATTCATGGCAGTATGTAAAAAAAGTTTCTTTCAACTTTGGAAGGCTCAGAGGCCACAGAATCAAATTTCGGAAGATGCCTCTTTGACCCTTGCCGGCTAAGCCTGGATTTGAGAAAGCAAGCCGCCGTTGAGGCTGGAGGGGCCAGAATGAACCTCCATGTGGTTCATGTGCCCCAGGCCTCTCTGAATGGGTTTGTCATGTAATCATGTGTCCACTAGAGGTTGAGCTTGGACTACAAAGGCTTCTCCAGCTGCTGCCACTCGTTCATGGACATTCCGTGATCGTGCCAGGCTTCTTGTTTTTAAGAATTTGGGCTGGAGAACCATACCCACCCCATTGTCTCATGAACAGCTGGAACCGAGTCCAGGCTCGTCCTTCTTGGGAGAGCTTGAGACAGGTCATGGGTCTGACCCAGTAGCCCTTCGGGCTGATGCTTGATAAATAGGAGGCACCACACAGTGATAGGAAAGACGTTTTTGGTGACCTTGTAATGTTTCTGGAGTCTCTCCTGGGCCAGGTTCTGGGCTGGCCTGTCTTGACCCTTGGTGTCCATGACCCTGAGAAGCCCAGACACAGTGGGAGAGAGGCCCCATCACCCCATCGGGCCGCCCCAGGGTCGCTTGCACCTGTCGGTCCACACAACGGAGCAGCGTCTGGCACTACTTTGCTCTCTCAGGGCTCAACCTGCATTCTTTGGAGCCCACACTTCGGCCTGAAACCTGTGACATTTCCCTGTCCACATGCCTTGAACTTTCCTTTCCTGCCTCTGTGGATATGAAGTCATTTAAAGGGGCTTTTAAAAAGTCCTCTAAAACCAAGGTCTTAAAGGCCACGAAGTAAGAGACAAGCATTGTTCCTCAGAGAGAGACGAGGGCAGGAGGGAAGCCCCTTGACAAGGGACAGGACACCTTTCTGGGCAGCAGGTTAAAACTGCTGTTGTGAGAACGAAGAGGTATTTTTGTCCAGAGGAAGTTTGTCCCAAACTAGAAACTAGCATGCAAGCTAGGTAAGGTAATTGAGATAGTCATTGGGCTACCTTATACTCAACTAAATTTGTGGCTGAAATCTTGTCATTCTTTGGCACAAAGTGAATACAAAGCTGTATTCTCTATGAGTTTCTTTCTCCAAAATATTGGCTTATCCATCAATTCTCATTCACGATTTCCTTGACAGCCCTGTCCTCATGCCCTCTCTTGTCCGGGTGGGACCTGCTTCTGGGTACCCAGAGACTAGACCAGCCCCCCCACAGAAGCCTGTGCCCCAGGGGTGAGCAGTGTACAGGGCTTGTGCCCTCTGGTGGCTTCTTGGGGAAATGCCTCTGGCGACCGCCCAGGGCAGGGCTGGCCAGAGACTGCCATGCTCCCGCCCCAGAAGGTGGATGCTGAGGACCCGGCTCCATGGTGCACGGCCTGAACACCGAGCATGTGCCCATCTGGCCCAGCCAGAGTCTGTGGCCTGAGAGGGACCCTGTGGGGTCAGTTGTGTGAGATGTAGCATGGGCTTCGCTTGAACCGCCCTCTCCAGCGTCCAGCCCCAAATGCAAGTCCTGGCCTTCACCCCAGCAGGAGCTTAAAAGCAAATGAAACCCTTTGGCTTCCAGTGATATTAACACATGGTTCTCATGCTTTTCTCTCTGTGTGTATGTGTGTGTGTGTATTGCTTATTTTCTTTTTCCAGATGACTAAGTCGGTTACTAACCCGGAGGAGCTGGGAGGACTGGCTTCACAAATGACCAGTGACTATGGGCACCTGGCTCTCCAGGGCCAGATGGCAGCAGCCACGGCGGAACCAGAGGAGGTCTGCCACCTTAAGGCCCCTGTTTTAAGAAGCAAGCACGCCCTGATGCCCACCCCCAGGGTTTCTTCATAGCTTAGCTCCACTCTAGAAGACCCCAGCCCAGCAGTCAAAACCAGGTTTAGTTCCCAATACTGCACAGAACAGGTCCAGACTTGGTAACCCCAGGCTGTGCTCAAGGCTCACTGCCCTTTCTGAAGTAGACTGGCCAGGAGCTGGGCTGCCTGGGGAGTGGCCTTCAGCAGAAGGATTCTGTTTACAGTGTTCCCCTGCCAGGACCCCTAACCCCAGGTTGCCACCTCTTCTGTGCCCAAGCCAGGGGCTGCCATCTCCTTCTCACTCCCTACTCCACTTAGCACAGCCCCCTCAATTATTTCCATGTTTTCCAAAGGTTCACAGTAGTGTTAGAAGAACCAGATATGGAATGTAGCTGGCCCCTTCTTGAGAAAGGGCTGCTTTCATGGAACAGAGTCTTGCCTGAACGTTCTTGGTGGCTTTCTAAGAACTGGCCCAGATCCCTGCCCCCGTGTCTTCTGTGGACTCCTCTCACATTACTTGCCTGCCTTCTCTGAACTAGCTGTCTTTAGTGGCCCATGTAGACTTGGCCTCAGAAAGCCCGCACCCATGAGAGTCTTAGAGTCTTACAGTAGCAAAAATTTGGTCCCAAAGGCCACTTTCTAAGAGCTTCCATCTCTGATACCACTAAGAACGTGAGTGTTCCACTGGGAAGCACACAGGTTGGGTGGAGCTCTAGGGGGGCTCGTGGCACCTGCCTCAGTGTGGACACTCAGAAAGAGTCCTGGGCTCCGGGGAACTGCATGGCTTCATAGAGAAAGCAAGCTCAGTTTGAAATAAAACATAACGGAGTGGATTGCAGGGACATTGGAAAGAAAAGGTGACTACATTCTGTGAAATTCAGCAAGGTGTTTATTGAGCATAAACCCTGTTCAAGACCTTCCTAAATGAACTGGACTGTCAAGGCAAAAGGTTGTAACTGGTCTGCTCTATTTGCAGTGGCAGTCACTGTCCCCAAGTTACTCAGTGCTGCTCTTTCTCCTGGGAAGCAGGTCTAAGTGTGTCTTAACAGAGACTCTCAGTGATGCTACAGAAATGAGGACCCAAAACATCACTTTCTAACGTGTGCTGTATCAGTAACACTGCATGTAAACAGGAATATCACATATATATGTACTTGCATACATATATATCTAGCATGAGATTACTTGAGTTTCTAACATTGCCTGCACTTTGAGATGTCAGAATAATTGAATATTTATGCTGCAGCATGAATAATTCTACTTGCAGTGAGTCTGTTAAGTCACTACCAAGAAAGAACATGTGTAATAGACCCAAATCAGGATCCTGCTGATGCTTCATACAGGCCCATAATTTTTTTTTAGAAAAAGAGACTCCCTGTTTTAGTGGGATCATCTAGACTTATAATTCATTTGATTAGCCTGTAATTTTGAATTTCAGCCACAAATGTAAGGGAACTTATGTTCCAGTAAGGAAAAGTTTGCTGGGATGAAAGGCAGAAATGTTTGGCTTTGAGGGAGTATTCAAAGCAAGTAGAGGCTGCAATTGAAAGGGAGCTTTGGATCTCTGTCCACAGAAACCGTTAAAAATGGAATCTACCCCCATCTGCCTTGGTTAGTCCAATGCTGACCTGCCCGAGTTACCTGGGGGGCCCTTTCCACATCTGAATTCTTCTGCGCTACCCACCCCATGTATGAATCAAGCAGGGTTGTTTTACTACAACACAGACCCCTGAAGAAGTCTATAAAATCATGCCAGAGCATCCCGGAAAGAAAATGCATTGCTAAAAGCACAGCAGCGAGTCACTTTGGTATCGAGATGTGTTTGTAGCAGCTGACATTTTCGTTACAGCTTCCTCCTTCATCATTACAGTCTGAGATGTATTTTTTACTCCAGACACAAGAGCAGTATGACCTGGAATGAAAAGGGGCCAAGAGAATATAAAATTACCAGGGGCTTGCTAAGGAAAATTCTTCATATTTGCCAGACAGATATTTGGGGAGAAAACTGAGACAGTTAGGAGATCCCTTAAGCAATGCTGTTCTTTATTCCAAGATCGTGGAATTATTTGTTTACCCACGAGGACCCTCCCATCACAGCACTGAAAATATTTATATCCAGGGCAGATAAGCTGCTCCCTTCACTGTAGTGCTGCAGCTTGCTGTGCAGAGTCAGCATTTTGGTCTTTTCCAGAATGTGACAATTACAGGAAAAGTCATAGCTCTGCCTTCAAACATCAAGCAGTAACTTTAATCTGCTTGTTTTTCCATGGAAAATCCAAACTTTTGTTAACATGACTGTGAAAACTTCTTTATTCAGAAAAGTCAAAATCCTCTGACAACTTTGCAATTTAAGGTCAGTTTCCCCTTAAAAAGAAGAAGAAGAAGAAAGAACTTAAGATCTTGTCAGCCACAACTCTTAAATGTAAATCCTGGGGAAAAGATTCAGAGGCTCCAGCTTCGTCTCTGAGGAAAACTTGTAGTAACCCCTTGTAACACTGGATGCCTTAAAAGAAAGCTGGCAGAAACATTTCAAGCGCCTGTGGCAAGAACCACAGCCCTTCCCTCCAAATGAGATGGATGTCCTCTCTAGAATTTTCTGAAACTTTCCACTCTGAGGCACACTCTCTGGACATAGCCAAGTGATGTCCTGCTGCTGTTGGACACACTTTATTTTCTCTTTTCATGTTTTCATCTATCTTTGTCAGATCTGTTCTTGCCTTTTCAACTTTCACAAGCTATCCTGGGTAAATTATATTATACTTGGCTTCAGATGTAATTGCTTTTAAGGCCTGAGAAAAATTGGTACTTTTTTTTTTTCTTAAGGAAAGACGTTCAGACCCCCTCCAACTGAAATCAGATCCAAAATTTCATAAAGACCAGCCTTTTAATTTCCCTCAAGGCACAAAACCAGGAGATGATTTTCTCCGTTTTACTTTTATTTGAGCAAGAAGGGGGAATTGAGGGTTTTTCTTAAGGCTCAAGTAACGCTTTACTGGAGTTGCCGATTAAAAACCCCCAAGTTTTATGTCTTTGAGCAACATTCTTTCATAATAAACACTGGCAGTTAATGGGATCAGTCTGTGGGCTAGTCATATTTACTGTGTTTAGTGTTGCTTTGAGAAGCTTAATGTTTTAAAATCCCTTATCTGTTTGAATCCAATCTCAAAAAGTGCATTCTCTTCCTAGAATGTTCCTCCAGTAGAACAAAATGTCCTCCAAACTTGCCAGTAGATGGTGTTGGTTCCGCGGTTCTCTTTCATTTCAGTGCCCTAGCTCTCCTGCGTGCCCCGCAAAAGTCAGAGTTGTTATGTATCCAGTCCTTACCACACACCAGGTGCTCTGATTTCTGCTGTCCTATTTCCCCTCACAACGGCAGTAGGTGGGAGGAGAATCATTTGCTCATCCCCGTTTCACAGATAAATAAACTGAGGCTCAGGGAGCTTAGTTAAAACCACATAAGTACAGTTGTTAGTGTGGAAGCCCCTTTAAATAACGTTTTGGAATAAGTGAGCGTTTCAAGTAAGTGAATACGTTAACAAGTGTGTGGCGCAACCAGGATTCAAACCCAGGTTCATTGAGCATCACAGCCCTGGCTGAGTCTCCGAAATCAGTCTGCTCTTCCTCCAACAGTAAGCATTCACATGGCATGTTCCACTTTTTGAGATGTTTTTACCATATCCCTTCATCCCTGTGAAGTGAACAGGGCAGGCTCTTTCCTGTGTCACAGGAGTGGGAACACAGGCCTCTGGAGGCTGATGGGCTCACCTGAGGAGTCTGTTGACCCAGAGAGGACAGAACTGGAAGCAAAATCCCTGGTCCTTCCCGCTGCTCCTGTGGGTGAAAAGTTAAGAGCCCACCCCTCCCCTTCTGTTCAGCCCCCCCATTCGTGAACACCAGTGAGGGGAGCCCATGTCAGCCTGTCCTTGGGAATGCTACACCCCTCCCACATGTTGTCCAAAAAGGACTGTGCGGCCAAGCCTCCAAGGGACCTCCAGGCACCTAGAAGACAATTGTGTGAGCTGGCACAGTCCCAGCCGCCGGGGCAAAGCCCTGGGTTGGCAGAGAATGCCCAGGGCCTTAGCAGCTGCCGCCTCCCTTGGCTTCAGCCCTCTGCCTTCTGCTGCTGGTCTTCCTTGTAGCCTCCTACCTGGAATTCGAGACCTGCCGGCCACGGGCCAGCTCTGCCGTGACATGTACAGGGTCCCTCACTGTATGTGTCATGTGACTTCCAAGAAGCGGGCTGAGCAGTGGGCGTTGAGGTGTGGCTTTATGGCCCTGCTTCTGGGGGGTATTGAGGCAGTGTCTTCTCACTGGTCGTGTCTTCCTGTAGGTGTCAGGTTTGAGACCATTGAGAGCGGGCCCTCCTCCCTCTACCCCCGGGGATGTGGGAGGCACTTGTGTGTCCCAGTGCCCCGCATTCTGCAAGGAGAGAGCCCAGGCGTGGCTCCGTGCGGGAGCAGGCGAGACACGCTAGGGACACTGAGAGCCAGGCCTTTCCTAGTGCTGCGCCCGCTTCTTCAGAGCTCCGCCCCTTGGAGGAGAATGTCAGGTTCTGTGCACGTTGGCTTCAGGTCTCACTTTGCCAACTTCATCGAACTCTCTTGAAAACCATCAGGAAATCCAGCCCTGGTCCTGCCCTCCTTTCAGTCTTTCACTCATGTGGCAGCAGAAGGGACCCTGTGAACGGGGCCTAGGCGGAACAGTGACCCGCTGGGGGCTGCTGGGCTGCTGCTGCATCACCCCTGCCGGCTGCGGCTGAGAACCGGGAGGAAGCTGCTCTATGTACATGTCACACGCATAACAGGGTTTTCTCACCTCTGTGCCACCGAAGCGAAGTACGGGGGGGAAAAAGCCAAAAATAATTTGGCAGCTGAGGCCGTCCCTGCCTTTATCACCTCATCTGTAAAAGTTGGTTCGGCTCACTCAGTCCCATTGTTAACTTTCTATTGAGCCAAGGATATCGATTTTGATCAAGCATGGTGGCTTATGCCTGTAATCCAGCATTTTGGGAGGCCGTAGTGGGAGGATAGCTTGAGCCTAGGAGTTCGAGACCAGCCTCAGCAGCATAGGATGACCTCATCCCTACAACAATTCAAAAGTGAATAAATAAAAAGCATATAAATTTTCTCTTATACAGGAAGAGCATGCTAATGACATGTTACCTCTATCCATTTTGCACATTGAGGTTCCACAGGAGATTTTATTTGAGGGAGAGAAAGTGTTCTGCTGCTAAGTAGAAGAACCAAAGAAATTAGAAAACCACTGATCTACTGGATAGAGCTCTGTGCCCAGGATTAAAGACCCAGATTCTTGTCTAGCTTTGCCAGGGACCAACTGTGTGATGTCGGGCAAATCACATCACTTCTCTGGGCCTCAGTCTCTTTATCTGTAAGATGGAGAGGTTGAACTGGTAAGGCCTTTTTTTACTTTGAAGTTCTGTCGATGTTTCCCCCTCTTCCTCTCCTGCCTTTTCCAGCAGCCACTTACTCGTTCAGAGATCTGCAATCATCGTTGACTTCAGAGCCCTTACCTGTAGATGAGCTCTGACCCTTGAATACTTAGGGTTAAACTAAATGGATCTGGAAAGCTTCAAGAGCCAGGTTGAGTTTATAACTTCAGGGAGGCATCCCCCTGCTTTGGCTTGACCTTTTAAAACCAACAAACATGTCTAGCACGCAGATGTGTTTAAATGGCTTTATGGTTGTGTGGACTGAATTGGAGTGCTTGGCCCCTCCTCCATGGCAGCTTTATTGCTGCACCAATCCAGACCTGTCGGCAGAGCTGCCGTGTTCAATCCAGGGGTGCTGCCCGTGTTGCCTCCTACATGGAGGCGGTCAGCAAGACAGTCTTGCCTGATTGTGAGGCTCTTGGCAGCACCCAGTGTACAATATAGAAGACACCCAAAAGAGCAGAAGCTCAGCTTTGTGGATCACGAGAATTTTCTACTAAACGGATTTCAAAGTTCTTTGGGCCTTAAGAGTTGTCAAGGGGAAGAGCTCTTTTTCCCCCTAAAAGTCGTTTCAAAAATAACAGAACACTTGCAGCCCCACCCCCTTTCTCCAATGTTACCATTCTTTAATCTCTGACTAATGAGAAGACCTCAGAAGATAGCATCCAGGGGGCTACAGTCTCACAGGTTTTATTCACAGTACCTGAGATCTTTTAGCAACTACTCTCAGTGGCTGCTGGAAGGATAAGCGGCAGCTTCTGTTTTTGATTCTTGAAAATAACACTGACTCATGCTTCGAGTTTTGTTTTGGCTTAGTTTTAGTTGCTTACCTGGGCCAGAGGGCAGATTATTTATGGCAGCTGTATTGATCAGACCAAAATGAAAATTCATATGAAGCAGGACTGGAGGAATGCAAACATAGGGGGAAGCGGGGGTGAATGTATTGCACCTTGGAGGAGACAGCTGGCGGCTTGTCACAGTGGAGAAGGGAGCTCATTTGGCTTCTCTTAGGCTAAGTACCTTTTATAATCACACAACCTGGGGGTCATTGAGAGTATGTGTGCCTGCGGAGCTTTTAAGCCCTAAAAATGTGCCTTTTAAAGGAAACCTCAAGCCTGGAAAGGAAGCCTGGGTACAGTGCGGCCACTCTCACCAGAGGGTACCGCTGAGGAAGGGGGTGTTCTGGTTAGTGTACATACCAATTTTGCAGGAATCTGAACACTCTAAAATATGCTTAATGCTGAGACTACGTTTTGAACTTCCAATTATTCTCTAGGGCTGTTGTGAGGAAGAAATGAAGTAAAATGTATTACCTGCTTAGGAGAGGCCTTGACACACAACAGGGGCTCAATAAATGCTTGTTGAATGAATACAGGATTACCCCCACGGAATTCATCTGATTACCATTTTTATCGGGTGGCTCAAGAGGCAGATAAGCTATAAACCAGAAAAGGTAACGAGTATCAGGGCGGTATTATACTAGGACCGCAAGATACAGGCTTGCTTAATGGAGACTGTGGGCATTTTACAGCCTCTAAAAAGAGAAGCAGAATCAACCAAATTCCATACTTCACCAAACACGGACTCCTAATGGGAGTGGAATTTTCCTAGCCAGGCTCCCATAGGACATAGGAGAAATTTTCCACGTAGGGAAGGCCTCGACGGCAGGCCCGTCACGCTTCTCCTTCCCCATCCCGGGCTTGCCTCTGCAGATCGGGTTCCAGATTCGCACTCGTGTGCAGGACCTGGGCCACGGCTGTATCTTCCTGGTGCAGAAAGCGGGGGCCCTCCAGGTGTGCCCCACAGACAGCTACACCAAGAGGGAGCTGATCGAGTGTGCCCGTGCTGTCACAGAGAAGGTAAGGAGGAGCCCTGGGGTCAGATGGAGCCAGGGAACTGCACCGGCCCTCAGTGAGTCGCCTGATCAGGAACAAAAGCAGGAATCAACCCAGCTGCCTCATCCTGGTCCTCCCTACCCCCAGATTCTCCCAGGGATGGGGCGCGTCGGGGAGCTGGGGTGACCCGCGGGCCATGAGAACTTGAGGACCTGAGAGGGACGGCCCTGAAGGTCAGGCCCTGGTGCAGCCCCTCCCTTGGAGGGCTCTCCTGTGGACAGACGATATCTCAGTCCCCTCAGGAGCTGCTGGCGGGGGGGAGGCCTGGAGCTGGGGCCCCTCCCCACAACCCCTTTGACACTTCATGTCCCCTGGTCTTCCTTCTCAGGGAGGCCTCCTAGGTGCTGAGGGCTGAGTCAGAGGACTGAAAGTTCCTCTCACGTGATCTCTTTATTTACAGATGGGACAGTGGAGAGAGGGAGGATTAGGCGACTTGGCCTTTTGTGGAGAAGTACGAACTTGCACTACGTTTTTCTGACTCTAGAGACAGTTGTTTGTAGAGAGAATCATATAGGGTAGGGAACCAGGCTCTAGGATCTGAGTTAAGTCACTTCACCTTCCCGCATCTCAGTTTCCCCATCTATATAATGATGATACAAACACATAATACCTGGCTCATAGAATTGTGAAGATTAAGCAAGGTGATGTCTGTAAAAGTGTTTGGCGCAGTGCCAGATGCATATTTAAACCCCGAGTAAATACTAGCTACTGCTCTCTCTAAGCTTTTCTCCAAAACTCTCTTTTTCCAGGTGGCTTTCCCCAGTTAGCCATGCCCTCCTCTGAACGTCCCTTCGTTCCCAAGTAGCTCTTTTATTTGTCACTTTGCTTTTGTCTCCGAATCATTTTCCAGGTCAGCTCTTGTGCAGGCTGCTTGAGACACAGGATGAAGTGTCTGTGTTTGGCCACTTCCCTGTCCCTTCACTCGAGTTTGCAGGACACAGAGCCCTATCTTGCTTAAAAACCTGGCAGCTGGACTTAAGGATGGGCAGGGGGGAGCCTTTCCCTGGAAGCAGCTGCTACAGAGACTGCTCTGTCTGAGGCCCTGCACAGAAGCCAAGCCACAGTCTGGCCATCTCCCCCAGCCCACAGGACCGTCCGCCCTCCCAGGACTTCACAGCACGAGGGAATACATCTCTCAGCTGAGGAAGACGTTTTCCCTTCTTTCAAAGCCTTTCCTTGTTCGTGAACTGACTCCGGCCAAGTTCTCCCATACACAGCCTTGTAGCGGGAGCACAAGGGAGGGAAGAGTTGGATCCACTCTGCTTAATATTTACCAAGCAACATGGTCTTCCTGGGCTGGCCCCGGTCATGCTAGCTCTCATCTAGAGGAGGACCAAAGGGTGGTTCTTAGCAACAGGACTTTGCGACGGTTTCTTGCGACGTGTCCCTGCCCTCTCCTCTCTGCCTGGCGTGCCTTGTGTCTCTCTTCCCTTTCTTGGTGGTGTGTGTAGCGTGTAGCCCCACACACAACTGTGAGTCCTTGGCTTGTCTGCCTTTGTGTTCACAGCCCCTAGTGACTAGTAGGTGTTCAATAAATACCTGCTGACTCGCACCCTTTTTGCAGAGGGTAGGACTCTTCTTCTTTCACTCTGGCTAAAAACATCTCGCCCACCAGCACCCCCTCCACTTCCGTACACTCAGACTTCCAGTTCTACTTATCCTGGCCTTTGTCATTCAACCTCTGGATGGGAGCCGTCTCCAAAAAACGGATACCTCATTCCCAGACCAGTTCTGTGCCCGTCTGACTCGTCTTTCTTGGTGGGACCTAGTGACATTTAAAGGAGGATCAGGCACATGAGGAAGAGAAGCAGCTCATTATTGGCTGATCCTGGAATGGGGTGGGTACTTAGGAAACAGGCCCTGTGGCCTCCCACCAGCATCTGCTGAGATCTGAGCAGCACAGGGGAGAAAGCATGTCTCAAACCCAGTGCCTCTCCTTGGTGCTGTAGCCCCTGCCCTGGTTAATATATGCAAAACATTTTCAGGGCCTTCTCTGGGTCCGTTGTGCTGAAGGATGGCAAGTGTGTGCATGCAGAGATTAATTCAAGGGCTCCGGGCCTCAAAGAGCCTCCAACTGCTAGCCAGACATGTGTTGGGTACCGTGGAGCCTGCTGAGGGCAAGAGCAATGAACTGTGGCATCCTGGCAGGGAGGTGGAGCTGGCTTTCTAGAACAGGAGAGAGGGAGAAGCATCTGGGGTTCGAGAGACTTTGAGCTGCATCTTTTAGAGTGAGTAGGTCAGTGGCTGGGGAAGACCTAGACTGCTGAGGGGGGTGTGTCCAGGGAATGAGGAGCTGGCCAGCATGGTGAGAGGCAGGTGAGGCTGGCAGGCGCTCAGGAAGGGATCTCAGCTCCTCTCCAAAGCCAGGGGAAACTGTAAGCAGGACTGTGCTGTAATCAGGCTTATTGGAGGAAAGTGTCTCTAGGAACAGGGAGAGTGAGCTGGAGGAGTGAGCGGTGAGGTGATGACACAGGGTTTCCGACATGGGAGACACTGGGGTGAGCCCCTTGACCAACCAGTTGCACCCTCAGGGCACTAGAATTATTATGGGGTGGTGGATGATGGCTCACGGGAGTGTCAGGAGTGCTGAGGTCACATGCACAGGCCCCTCTGGACCCCAGCCCCCTGAGCTGCACTCTGAGGCCCTTCCAACAGTGAAGGCACAATGGATGTTGGCATTCCTACCGAAAATCCTGATAAAGAGGATGGAATGGCCACACAGGAGTCTCCCCCGCCCCTCTCTGTGGTTTCAGAAGCAATAGTGATCAAGTAAATAGCAGCGTCCACCCTCTACTGAGCACTCACTACGTGCCAGATGCCTTGCCAGACGCTTTACGGACATTTTTTTCCCTATTTAATCCTCCCAACAACCCTGCTAGACAAGAAGTAACAACCCCATTTTATAGATGAGGAAGCCAAGGTTTAGAGAGGTGAAGCGAGGTCTTATGGCCTATAAAGGTAAGGCTGGTACTGAGACTCAGGCTGTTGACTCCAAGCATGTGCTGTTAGTCCCTACACTACATTGACTCCCAGGAGAGAAGGTCCAGCGTTTTCAGTCAGCACGTTCTGCCCACTTTTTCCTATTTCCCTCTCCCCTCACGTTCCCTTTCCGCCTTCAGGTGTCCTTGGTGCTCTCAGCTCTCCAGGCTGGGAACAAGGGGACCCAAGCATGCATCACGGCCGCCACTGCCGTGTCTGGGATCATCGCCGACCTGGACACCACTATCATGTTTGCAACAGCGGGGACGCTGAATGCAGAGAACAGCGAGACCTTTGCCGATCACAGGTATGGGGCTCCTGGACAGGAGGAGGGTCAGGTTGGCCAGCTCTGAAGCTCAGGGGGGTTGGGATGCTGCCTGGAAGCCAGAAATGTAGTTATCTATTTTTATCTCAGCAAGATGCTCAAGTGGGAAAAGTGAACCACATCATCAGAATAAGCCCCTTTTGCCAACTGTAAACACAGAGTCATGTGTGAACTTTGCCTTTGACAGCCCTAAATCTAGCTGGCTCCAGAGGAGAATGGCTTTTTAAAATTTTTTTATTTTTTGAATTGGAGTCTTAACTCTGTCACCCAGGCTGGAGAGCAGTGGCACACTCAAAATCCACTGCAGCCTCGAACTGCTGAGCTCAGGCAGTCCTTCTGCCTCAGCCTTCCAAGTAGCTGGAACCACAGGCGCGTGCTACTATGCCTAGCTAATTTTTTGATTTTCTATAGAGATGAGTTCTCGCCATGTTGCCCAGGCTAGTCTCAAAGCTCTGAGCTCAGGCAGTCCTATCACTCGGCCTCCCAAAGTGCTGGAATTATAGGCGTGAGCCACTGAGCCCAGCAGAGATGGCTTTTTTATCTGTCGCCTCCCAAGCCAGAGAGCCATTCCTTGGACCGTTGACTGGCCCCAAAAGGACCGGGAGGGACAAGACAGGTACACTGAAATTTCACTGTGTTTTGGAGAGTGGGGCTCAAAGCCCACTCTCTCTGCCAGGGTTGCCTTGAGAACACTGGCTCTTTAGCCAGTCCTCAAAGGCTGATGCCGGGGCCTCTCCATTTGCTACCAGGGAACCCCACATTCTCCCCATATGCCCAGCACCTTTCCTCCTCTCTTCAATCCAGTAGCTGGGCTAGGGAGAAGGTTCCCAGTACCCTGTCATCCTTTCCTTAGCCTAGCCTCTTGGACTCACATTCATGGACAAGGTGGGCCAGCCCATGTATCTTCACAGTCCCTGTGGTGATGAAATATTTTAAGGGCTAGTGGGAGCCACAAAAAAGAAGCTGATGTTTCAGTTCACTGCAGTGCGGGGGAGGGAAGCCCAGGCTGGTGGGGCTGAATCTTTCATTGACATCTGTCAACCAGTTGGCTCTCTTCTCCCCAAGTCTGCATATGTGGAAGGTGAGAGCCTGCTGGTACAGGGAGGCCGAACACACTCCTCTCTGCTTCAGATCCCCTTTAACAAAGTACTGTGTGAGGGACTTCTTTTCCTTCCAGCCGCAGGCACTCAAGTTTTGCCCTTTGTCTCTTCACCTCTCCTGTACCCTCCCCTTCTCAGGGAGAACATTCTGAAGACAGCCAAGGCCTTGGTGGAAGACACGAAACTGCTTGTGTCAGGGGCCGCATCCACTCCAGACAAGCTGGCCCAGGCAGCCCAGTCCTCTGCAGCCACCATCACTCAGCTGGCAGAGGTGGTCAAGCTGGGGGCAGCCAGCCTGGGCTCTGATGACCCTGAGACCCAGGTATGGGTGGGACCTAGGGAATGTGTCCTCTTCTTCCTTCCACAAACACTGCACACCAGGTCTCAGAAGGGGCCTAGGACAAAACAGGAACTTTTAACGTGTGAGTGTGTCTAGTTTGAGGAGCTGACAGGCAGCAGTTATCCAAGCAATATAGTGAGATAGTGACATAGACTGTAGAGGTGGAGAGACACTACACATTTGCGAGGAATCTAGAAGGAAGACTTGGCCAGCCGTGAGGAAGGACTGAATGCAGTGGGCCTTGAGAGAGGGGTCAGTTAATGCTGGCTCTGCATGCAGGCCAGGCAGCGTGCAGGTGTTCCACGCACCAAGGTGGAGTTCCCTGGAGGGAAAGCCAGTATGGCAGGCAGCAGGTGAGTTGGCCTGGGGCGTGTTGAATTGGAAGTGCCAGAGAGACACGCAGGTAGGACTCACGAGTGGGCAGCAGCCTGCTCGGGTGTGGGGCGGTGAGACCAGAGACCATTGCCATAGTGATAGCAACGACAACCACACGAGAGGAAACACTTGGAGTGCCCGGAGAATGGGATCAGGACAGAGCCCTGAGGAAAATCTCTAAACTTACTCATTTTGCGTACCTGAAACATTATACTCACTGATGAGTAACTCCTCATTTTCCCCTAGCCCCCACTCTAGCACCCACCCTTCTGCTCTGCCTCTATGAGTCTGTTTCAGATACCCAGTATAAGTGGAGTCCTACAGGATTTGTCCTTCTGTGACTAGCTTCTTTCACTTAGCATAATGTCCTCAAGGCTTTTCCATGTTATCACAAATGGCAGAATTACCTTCTTTTTTAGGAGAAGATTAATACTCCATTAAATAATGATGTGCCAGTAGTTATTTAGTTGTATTAAACCACCTTTTCTTTATCCACTCATCCCCTGATGGACACTTAGATTGTTTCCACGCTTCAGCTAATGTGAACAGTGCCGCTGTGAGCATGAGAGTGCCAATATCGCATTGAGATTCTGATTCCAGTTCTTTTGAGTAAAAATACCCAGGAAAGATAATACTAGATCATATAACAGTTCTGTTTTATTTATTTATTTGTTTGTTTGTTTGTTTGTTTATTTTGGAACCTCTGCCCTGTTTTCCATAAGGCCATACTGCCTTGAATTCCTACCAGTCGTATGCAAGACTTCTAGTTTCTCTGCGTCCTCATCAACACTGGTCTTTTTTTTTTAATTTGGTAAAGGCCCTCCTAACAGATTTAAGGTAATATCTCATTGTGGTTTTGATTTGCATTTCCCTGAGAACTGGGGACATGGAACTTCTTTTCATATACCTGTTCACCATTTGCATGTCATCTTTGGAAAAATGTCTATTCAGGTCCTTTGCCCATTTTTTAATCGGGTTATTCATTTCTTTTGGCTGTTGCTTCAGGATCTTTTTGTTTTGTTTTGTTTTGAATCAGAGTCTCACTCTGTCACCCGGACTGGAGTGCAGTGGCACACTCATAGCCACCACAGCCTCGACCTGCTGGGCTCAGGTGATCCTTCTGTTTCAGCCTTCCAGGTAGCTGGAACCACAGGCATGCACCACCTTCTGGTGATCCTTCTGTTTCAGCCTTCCAAGTAGCTGGAATCACAGGCATGCACCACCACACCTGGCTAATTTTTTTTATTTATTGCAGAGACAAGGACTCACAAGTTGCCCAGGCTGGTCTCAAACCCCTGGGCTCAGGCAATCCTCTTGCCTCCACCTCCCAAAGTGCTGGGATTACAGGCATGAGCCATTGCACCTGGCTTATTGCTGTAGGATCTTAACTCCCAAATTGTCTAAATATCCAGAAGCATCCACTTCGAATGAAATCTCACATAAAAATCCCTTCGGAAAAATGTCCCCACTCATCGGTGAGCTGTCAAGTGACTGGGATGGGACAGCGTTTCCCGGATGGTGTGGATGCCGGCAACAGACCTTTGCTTTCTGTGCCTGTGTGTCCTTTTGCTACCCCTCCTTCCCTGCTGTGATCTCGAGAATCAGTGTGTTGTCCATACACATCACAGCACTGAGGATTCAGAAGGTTGATCGGGGTTCCTGTACCCTACAGGCAAGAAGGCACAATGGTAACAGGCAGGAGGTGGACAACCGCCGCAGTGCTGAGCTGGCAGTCGCCTGGGACTCTGGAATCTCTGACATGTTTCCACATCTGTGATCCCAGTTTATCCCTACAGCAATCTGATGGGATAGAGGGGGCTAGCTTGCTAATTCCACTGTTGATGAGGAGCCAGAGAGCATGATGCATTGTGGTGGTTAAAACTGTGGCCTTTCAGGTCACATAGACCAGAGTCTGAATCCCAACTCTGCCACTCCCAGGCTCTGTGAGTGTGGACATAAGAATTGTAGTTGTTCCCCCTTGGAAAGACAATAGTGAGGATTAAATGATACCGTGTGTGTAGAGTGCTTGGCTCAGCGCCTGAACACTGCCCTCAATACAGGGAAGTTGTTATCATTATTATTACTGAAATAGAAGTTGTTATTGGAGCTACTGGACTGAGAGCACTTAAATGCAATGCCCAGTATCATGTAATTCCTGTCTGTGGCTGGTACTTCTGACGCCAAGTCCAGCCCACTGGAAAGGTGATCTGTGGCCTCTGCGAAATTAGAAAAGCAAACGTGACTAATTTGTCACATCCAGGTTTATGTGGGTACACACCTGTGTCTTCATTCATTCCACTGGCATCTGCCAAGTGCCTGCTGGGTGCCAGGCCCTGTTCTGAGCATGAAAGGAAACAGAAGTCCAGGCCAGGCCTCCTGGAGCTTGCATCCAAGTCAGGGAAGACAGACCATGTTTAAGTGAATACATGACCAAGTAGTCCCACGTATTGAAAAGTGCATGAAGAAGACGGTGACCTGACAGTGTCAGGTGGACCTGGGCCTATAGCTGGGGGTAGGCAAGGCCTCTGAGGACATGACACTTGAACTGAGGTCCAAGTGATGTAAAGAGCCGGGTCCCAGTTAGAACGGCAACAGCCAAGGCCCCAAGCAGGAATGAATGGAGATTTCCCCTGGGGAGGGCAGGCCAACCGTGTACCTGTAGCATGCCGAGTGAGGCCAGGAGCTCTACGAGAGACAGCTGGGGAATCCGGCAGGCTGTCTTGAAGGCCCCACAGGCTGGGATGAGGTTGGGGTTTTGTTCTCCATGTTGGGGCACCAGTTCGGGGGCAAGTGGTAGCACCTCTCTGGTGTCTGCTTAGCTGCCTTTTTCCTGGCAGGGTTGCCAGCCAGGGGCTTGAAACATGCTGTATGTATAGACCAGCTCCCCATGCTGGCTCACCTTCTGCCTCCCCTGGGAGTCTGCAAAGTTCCAATAGGATCTCCAGGGGTGGCTTCTGGGAGGCTCTGCCACACTGCCAGCATTAGAGCCCTGAGGCAGAGATGGTCTTTTTCTGGTCCCCTGTGCCCCTGGTGAAGTCAGCAAGGGAATGCATGGTGCCTGCTCATCTGGGCTCTGACTCTCTTTCAGGTTGTGCTAATCAATGCCATCAAAGACGTGGCCAAGGCCCTTTCCGACCTCATCGGTGCAACCAAGGGAGCTGCCAGCAAGCCGGCCGACGACCCCTCCATGTACCAGCTCAAGGGGGCCGCCAAGGTAGAATGGGGCTTGTGCTGGGGACACACACATGCAGACGTGCAGTGAGAATGGGTGCCTGAGCTCCCTTCTCACTGGGAGGAAAGAGAGGGCTCCGCAATTGGCATTCAGTCTGAGCGGAAAGGAACAAGGACTGGACCTCACGCAGTGCACTCTCTGTTTTCTCTCTTCCTGTGTAGGTGATGGTGACCAATGTCACCTCCCTCCTCAAGACTGTAAAGGCGGTAGAGGATGAGGCCACCCGGGGCACCAGGGCGCTTGAGGCCACAATTGAATGCATAAAGCAAGAGCTCACGGTAAGGAGGCCACTGTCACCTCCCTGGAGTCCAGCCTCCAAGAGCTGACCCCAGCACTCCTCTGAGATTCTTTGTACAATGATGTTTTACCTAGAACCCCTGAACTAAGGGGCCCCTCACCGACCTGCCAGTAACTTTGTGTCACTGAGGCCCCAGGTGTCACTGGGTTTGCCTGGGATCGATTTGTAATGGTAATCAAGGCGTTCATTGAAATATGTCACTTAGTACTATTCATGTTTTATTTATTTTTGATTCAAGGAATACAGATGCCGTTTATTAATGGGCCTGTTGCATGACTTGTTGAGTCCATTTACCCAAGTGATCAGCATGGTACCCAGTGGGCGGTTTTTCAGCCCTTATTTCCCTCCCTCCCCCTCCAGGAAGTCCCTGGTGTCTGTTGTTTCATCTTTATGCCCATGTGTACCCAGTGATTATTCCCCACTTAAAAGTGAGAACATGTGGCATTTAGTTTTTGGTTTCTGGAATAATTCACTTAGAATGATGACCTTCAGCTGCATCCATGTTGCCGCAAAGGACATGATTTTATTCTTTTTGATGCCTGCATAGTATTCCATGGTGCATATGTACCACATTTTCCTTAGTCAGTCCACCATTGATGGGCACCTGGGTTGGTTCCATGTGTTTGCTACTGTGGATGGTGCTATGATAAACATACGAGCGCAAGTGTCTTTTTGGTAGAACAATTTGTGCTCCTTTGGGAATATTCCCAGAAGCAGGATTACTGGGTTGAATGATAAATGTATCTTGAGTTCTTTGAGAAATGTTCAAGCTGTTTGGCAAGGTTGCCAAGAAAAGGGGACACTCATAAACTGGTGGTAGGGATGTAAATTGGCTCAGCCCTTGTGGACGATTCAGGTTTAATTCCACGAAAGTGCCGGCACAAAACCAAAGCATTGCAGAAGACCCCTGGCAAAAGGGAAAGTGAGTTTGGCTGTTCTTACCCACCTTGGGTTTAAATCGTGTATACAGTATGTAGCATCTTGATTCACGTTGCTGTTGGCAACAGCTGATACTGCTGCCTGCACACATGCAGCATTTGAAGTCAGAGGATTGCTGTTGGCAAAGCCTGGCTGCCTCTGCCTGAGACTCTTCCCTTTAAAATCAAGCTCCCGACCAGGTGTGCTGGCTCAAGCCTGTAATCCCAGCACTTTGGAAGGCTGAGGTCAGGAGATTGCCTGAGCCCATGGGTTCTAGAACAGCCTGGGCAACTTGGAGAGACCTCATCTTTACAATAAATAAAAAAATTAGCCGGGCATGATAGCACACACCTGTAGTTCCAGATACTTGGAAGAAGAAGGCTGAGGTGGAAGGATCGCCTGAGCCCAGCAGATCAATGCTGGGGTGGCCGTGAGTGTGCCACTGTACTCCAGCATGGGTGAGGGAGTGAGACTCCAACTCAAAAAAAAAAAAAAATCAAGCTCCCTTCTGGTCCAGTCGTCCAAGCTGAGGGCACTGGGCCCTGTCCTCCTCTGCCTTTTTCCGGCATTGCAGAGTGAGAACACCCTAGAGTGACTGTGATACGGATGTTATCTGCTGTTCTTTTGTTCCCATGATGGCTATAGATGGACTCATTCTAATTCCTAAAATAGATGCTGAAAATGAGTGGTTTCAAACCGACATTTCTTTTTTTTTTTTTTTGAGTTGGAGTCTTACTCTGTCGCCCAGACTGGAGTGCAGTGGCCGTTCCCGGCCACCGCAGCCTCGACCTGCTGGGCTCTGGCAGTCCTTCCGCCTCAGCCTTCCAAGTAGCTGGAACTACAGGCGCGCGCTACCATGCCCGGCTAATTTTTTGATTTATTGTAGAGATAAGGTCTCACCACGTTGCCCAGGTGGGTCTCGAACCCGCGGGCTCAGGCAATCCACTCACCTCAGCCTCCCAAAGGCATGGGATTACAGGCTGAGCCACCGAGCCTGACTGACATTTCTTTTTAATAGGAGATCTGATCTAAGATTCACCTTTTTTGGGGGGAAGAGGTGGTTACCTGTCTTTGCAACAAGTTGTTTTGTACCTATAAAGGGTCACCTGTGAGGGCAACCTGAGGGTCAGCAGTTGAAACAATAGCAAAGTAATTCCCCTGGGTGTTGGTGACAGGACCTTGCGTTCCCTTGTCATGTCGTTAATGAACTTAGTCTTGGTGGATGTTGTGCTTAAATCATCCTTTAAAGGAGAAGCTAAAAAAGTATGGGAGCAACTCAGGAGCTGGTGGCGCCCTCCGGCTCCACTGCGTGGCATTCGCCTGGCTGCACGGGCTGGGCATTTCCTCCTTGAAGTCTGGACACAGGTTCTGACATGCGTGGGTAGGCATAATGGTAGCCAAGGGAGGGATTTGAAATTTGGGGCTATCCTCGGAAACTACAGACGTGTGGTTATTCTAAGTATGCCAGCATGATTTGAAATTCACCCAGATTCTGAGTTTCTGCAGAGCATGGACCACGAGGGCCACATTTGTATGGAGGATTGTCCACGTGGTCTCCATTCCACAGCAGCATTCAATGGTGGAGCTGGGATGCAGGGTCCTGAGCTGTGTAATTGCAGTTGCCCATCTTTGGGGGGTAGTGATGGTTGGCATTCGATGGGGTCACTGACTGGGCCCTGCCTTCTCCTCAGGGAAGCTTTTCCTGCTGAGACAGGGCTGCCTGGTGCTGAAGACAAGGCAGCCCCACCTGGGCTGTCAGATCTTGTGTGCAGGGACAGATGCCCATTCAGCACACCGCCAGGCACCAGTCACGCATAGCCGATAAGGCAGATGGGCTTAAGCAGGAGTAGTGGCCTTCACTGACAGGGGCACTTTAAGTGGGATATTGACTTGCCATGGTTAATTTATGTCAGCTTCTCTAAGAGGGGCGTGTGGTGTTAAATAATTCACAGTGTCACCATGGCGCACTTGACATGAACACCTCTGCACCATTACGTGGTTATATTTGTAAGACAGGCCAAGGAGAAAAGGAACTGAGGCGTCATTCCCCCAGCCTCTCGCCCCTTCAAGAGAAGGGAGAGGTGAGCCTGGAGTGGTCCAGCCAGGTCCATCCCACCCCGAGACCTGCACCGGACTGTGGAATGTCTGGAAACTGCGAAGCACCGGCAGGGATAGGGGAAGAGAGCTAAGAGGCCACAGACAACCTTCCTGGGAGGGGTGGTGTGTAAATACTGAGTGTCAGTTCCTACAGATGAACAGGTGAGCACTGTGTCTCCTTCACCATACATGATTGTTCCCATGAATGCCACGTGCAAGTGTAGGAGGTTTGTCCATGCTAGAATCCCAAAAGCAAAAACGATATTACTCTACTCAAATTAAATTTCTAACGTTCTGCCAATTGACTGTTTCTTCCAGTGACTGGCTTGGTTTTCAGACACAGCTACCGCCTGGATGGAGAAGAACAAATGATTTTTGTCCTTCCGTTTTGATTTTTTTTAACCTTTAACCTCTCTGTTTCTGACTTTCAGGTGTTCCAGTCAAAAGAGGTACCTGAAAAGACATCATCACCCGAAGAATCCATAAGGATGACAAAAGGCATCACCATGGCAACAGCCAAAGCCGTGGCGGCTGGGAACTCATGTAGACAGGAGGATGTGATTGCTACTGCCAATCTGAGCCGGAAAGCCGTGTCCGATATGTTGACGGCTTGCAAGGTAAAGGCCTTGGCATTGTTTGGGCTGGACAGGTGGTTCTCAGTCATGAGTACATTGTTTGGTGTCCTTTGGAAAAGGGGAGGGCCCAGAACATGCAGAAGGGATCAGCTCAGCTCCTCAAACTTTGTAATAAAAATGCACGCTGAAGACAGCATGGGCCTGTCTTCGCCTGTGAGAAGCAACTCTCTTTGGCAGATTTGTGTTTGTTTGAAAGGGAATAAAGTCAGCTCTGCGGGCCTGATCCTCTTTCTAGTTCTTCCTGAGTAGTCAAGAAGCCTTCTTGCAGGGCATATGGTGGAACCCCGAGACTGCTAACCAGGGATCGCAGCACTTTGTTCCAGGTCATCCAGATGAACTTTTCCTGCCCTCCAGGTCAGCCGTCGGATGCTAGGAGAGGTGTGGCCATGAGGTGAGGCCACGAGGTGAGGGAGTAAGTCAGAGAAACACAACAGAATGGGGAACTACCTTTTTGCTAGACATCTTGGAGAATCTCCTCTGGTCCTTGGGTGGCTCATGGGAGTCTGCCCGAGCCTGTGCTTGGCAAGGGAGCCACGGAGACCTGAGCCCTGTGACCCTCATCTTTTATCTATTAAGAAAATGAATCCAGCTGGGCTTGGTGGCTCAGCCTGTAATCCCGTGCCTTGGGAGGCTGAGGTGAGTGGATTGCCTGAGCCCGCAGGTTCGAGACCCGCCTGGGCAACTTGGCGAGACCTCATCTCTACAATAAATCAAAATGAGCCGGGTGTGGTAGCGTGCGCCTGTAATTCCGGCTCCTGGTAAGGCTGAGGCGGAAGGATCGCCGAAGCCCAGTAGGTCGAGGCTGCGGCGTCCGGCAGTGGCCACTGCACTCCAGTCTGGGCGACAGAGTGAGACTCCTACGCAAAAAAAAAAAGAAAGAAAAGAAAAGAATCCTAAGAGCCCCCACATCGCCCTGCATTTTCCTGAGTGCCCCCAGCCCAGGCCTTCACCCTTCTCAGGACAGTCTGGCTCTGGGTACTCTGGCTTCTACTTAGTGATTGACTGATGAGCCCCTGCCATGGTGAGTGAGCCTGAAGATGAACCAGAAGCAAAAGGCTGGCTCCTGCCGCCTGAGGCCTGAGGGAATAGAGCTGTTTTCTGTGGTGAAGCGAGTTCTTTGCAGGTTGCCGCTGCACAATCCGACTCTTGTGACTTCTTGGTGGTTCCCCAGAAGGGGTAGGAGGATTTGGAGGTAACTGGGCAAAGTAGGGTGGGTGGGGAGCTGCAGGAATGTGTGTACAAGGACCTGGCCATGGGAGGGCTCCCTGGGTGTGATGGAGCGGAGAGAAAGAGAGGATGAGCTGGAGAGACAAGGGTGGGGAGGTAGAAGGCAGGTAGGGCCAAGTTCATGAAGGACTAGGGGCGCTAGGTCAGGAAATTGGGCTGTCTCCTAAGGCTGAAAGTATTTGCCATCTCGATGTGCTCAGTGGAATCTTCCCACTAGAAGTGATAACTTCCAAAGGGTCTATAGTTTTCATCAGAGATGGGTAGTTAGTTATCTAGCAAGATAGACCTAAAGGCACCTCACAGTTTTGGAAGGTCTGTCCTATGTATTCTGTCATTTGATCCCTGATAAGAAGGGTGAGAGTAATTATTTCAATTTGTCAGATGATAAAACAGGCTCAGAGAGGTTAGTATTAGCATAACCAAGGTCACACCGCTATTCACTATCAAAATAGTGCTGAAACAAGCTCTTTTAATTCCTCATCCAGTTTGTTTTCTGCTGTGCAGGGGCTTCCAGCCATAATGCTCAGTGTCACTGTGGTTGATGAGCTCCAGACACATTTGTCACCATGTCACAGACATGAAGGAGGAAAAGCGAACAGAAAAAAGATCATGGTTAAATGGGTTTTTAAAAATGGAATCCACCTCAGATTTCAGGGGAAGAGATCAAGTGAGAAGTGTGGCTGCTGTTGGCCCATCCTGACTGCTCTCTGTGATTTTGCCTCTGGATCAGACCATCTTGACTTTGCAGGAAAAAATAACAGCCAGAGTTCTGAAGACTGTATTCTGGCGACACATGCCAAAACCAGACTGCACATGTGTCACTGCTGAGCCCTGAGATGCCTGCTAGGACAGGACTTACTTAGCAGACTCACTAGCATTTCTGCTTCCTTTGATCTCCTGTATTCTTCACCCCTTTACAAAAGAGCGTCAGGCAGCTGGCCAGAAAAGGTGTGCATGCAGTAGGGCACATACCAAAAACCAGGGATGCTGGGTGGTGAATTAAGAAGGAAGCTTCATTGGCCCAGTGCTCACGTCTATAATTCCAGCACTTTGGGAGGCTGAAGTGAGAGGATTGCTTGAAGCTGGAGTTCAAGACCAACCTGGGCAACATAGCAAGACCTCATCTCTACAAAAAAAATTATTTTTGAAATTAGTCAGACGTGGTGGTACATGCCTATAGTTCCAGCTTTGGAAGGCTAAGGCAGAAAGATTGCCTAAGCCCAGAAGGTCGAGGTTGCACTGAGCCATGATCATGCCACTGCACTCCAGCCTGGATGACAGAATGAGATCCAGACTCAAAAAAAAGGAAGCATCATGTGCCAAGCAGAAGGGCTAAGCTTCCCTGTTTGAGCACTGCTTTGGGTCTGAGCATGATAGCCAGGGCAAATGTGGAGGTGCAGAAAGGTACATACTGGCTCATCTTATCAGAGTGGGAGAGTTATACTGCTTCCTTGGGCAAAGAGGAAGACTGGCCTGCACCGTAATTATCTTACATATTTCTTTTTGATCTTTCTTTCATGTGCATATGTCTGTGCTAGATATAACCTTGTATCTACTATTGTAACTAATGTTATATGATTGCTTCAATGTTGCTATGAGTCTCCATCACTGACTTTTTAATGACTTCACAATATTCTGTCAACAAATATTATCTTTCTCCTATTATCAAATTAGGCTATGTGCATTTTTTTTTTAATCATGATCTTTACCTCAGTGAACATTTTTGGGTATGTCTGTTTTTGTCTGTGCTTTGGGTTATTTCCTTAGGCAAGACTTCCAGAAGTAGAATTAGTGGGTGCAGTGGTATGAGATTTTAATGACGGCCAGATTGCTCTCCCAAAGGGTTCTGACCAAGTTGTAGAGCCACTCGCAGGGCATAAGAATACATCAACTTCCCCTCTCCCGCAACCCTGCATAAGGGCTTGCATGTGACCTACCAGAAATGATGTCCGGTAGCATCGCAGCCTGTGTCTTCCCACAGGGTAGACACGTCACATAGATGTGAGGCTCTGTGCCCCACTCCTGGGGTCATGGAAAGATGAGGGTGAATACAAAGTGAGCCCCTAGTCCTCAGATGAGTGAAACTTGACTCGTAAATGACCTGCTGGCCGCACAAATGAGCCCCGGGCCTTCCAGAGTTGTGGGGGTAGATAAGGAGAGAGCCCACAGGTGCTCACACCAACACCCCTTCCCCATGCCCAGGGAGAGGGACCTGAGTGGACCAGAAGAGGAGGCTGGGCCGTATTCCCCTTCAGCCTTGGCTTTTTAACCCTAATGTGTGATTTGTGTGCGTCCCGATTTGTGAGTTTGGGGTGGTTTTCTATTGCATGTACTTCTGCAAGGCTCTTTGTTATTTCCAGAGCGAAGCAGTAGAAGAAAGAGTGGGAGGAGTTGCTGGCTTTAGCAGATAAGGCAGAGGGTGTCCCATTCTTGTGCTAAAACATTTTCATTGTGTATCTAACGTTTCAAATTTAACTGGGTGTATTTTACCTGGCAACCCTATGGATGGTTATGCCGTTGGAGGTGATAATCTCATGAAGGACTAAGTGGGCAGGCCATAGTACAAGAAAAAATCCTGAGGTGCTGCCTTGAGCGTGTGCCCTGTTTGCTTATTGACTTTTGCATCATGTAAGCAGAGTTTTGAAGCCTCTGAGGGTACTGGAGAGCTCACTGTCTGAAACATCCCAGGAGCCAGAGGGCCCTGGTCACAGAGACCTCACTGTGACTGCAGTGTGGTCAGGCCAGGGGTGAGAACCAGGGCTTAATTAGCCTGTGAACAGCAAGGGGCCTTGAGGACTCCTGGTGTTGCTGAAGAGAGGCCAGGCTGACCCTGGGTCAGTATGTCTCCTGTTGTAAGCCCTAGTCATGAATCTTGCTAGACATGTTAGTGCCTGTGGAATTTTCTGCATTTCGAAAACCGGGAGGTGGGAAAGGGAAGATGCAGTTGTTTCTGTCATCTGGCCCCGGGCACTAACAAAGTAAACACACAGATGATGTCAGAGAGCCGGCTGGGGGCAGGTGGGAGGGACCGGGGTAATGCAGAGGAATGACCTTCCTGTCCAGGGAGTCAGGGCAGGTTTCTCAAGAGGCCACTGGGGTTAAGGTCTCCTGCCTCTGGACCCAGGGCTGCCTGGCACTCCTGGCCAGGTGACTCACCAGCAGAATCTTCCTGTTTAAAGATGTCAACATTCCTTTCTCTCTCCAGCAAGCATCCTTCCACCCCGAAGTCAATGATGAGGTGCGAACCAGAGCCTTGCGGTATGGGACGGAGTGCACCCTCGGCTACTTGGACCTTCTGGAACACGTCTTGGTGGTGAGGAGGCATGCGGGCAAGGGCAGGGCTGAGGAATAGCTGTGTCACGCTAGCCACCCCGGCGGAGGCGGACCATGCGTTCTTCAGGAAGACCCCTCTTAGAGGACTGTGTGAGCCCCACTTGTGAGGCTGGTGCTGGATCGAGCTGAAGGGTCCCCGGATGTATTGGCCCAGGACACTGAGCTAAAAAGTACAGCCTGGAGGAAGTTGCAGTTAGAATCCAGGGCACCTCCGGTTTCTCTTGCACTCAGAAGGCAAGACTAGCCTGGAAGAGGGGTGAGCAGAGTGAGGGGTGGAGCGGAGGGGTAGCCAGCACCACAACTGAACAAGTGTCAGGAGGTCTCATCACATCAAGAGAGCCACGCCAGTCTACGTGACAAGTTAGGGAGGACCATTGCTACTGCTCCAAGTAGAGCCCTAGGCTCTTACAACTTCCTCCTGTCCATGGGTGAATGACTGAAATCCTGGTGAGAATGGCTCCCCCAGCCTGGCACGCCCAGCATGGAGCTTGGTTGAGAGACAGAAATGGGAAAAACCGTGCAGGGGCTGCAGGGGTCACGGCGTTAGACCACCCATGAAAGAGCCTCAGGTTTGTACAGACACCCAGTTCCTAGAGTGGCTTGACACCCCCAGGCCCTGAGGACCAGCCATGGAGAGGCAGGAAGCATGTACACTGTGCATCTGTTTCTGAGTCCTGGGTTTAGAACCGTGTATGGTCTGGGGCAGGCCCAGGTGGTCAGGGACATCTCCAGGAGAGAGTTGACGATGTCTCCCCTCCCATCACTGCCCTGGTTCTTCCAAACCTAAGAAAAGAAATCCAGGCCCCCTGCAGATACACAGTGCACATGCCCGTAGGAAGGCTGCCAAGCCTTTCACTTGCCGGGTATTCTCAAGTTCTCTTATTTTGCCTTTGTGCCATCATGTGAGGCTAGCAGCCCAGAGGGATGATCTGAGGCCCAGAGAAGTTTGTCCCTTGGTTAGATCACCCAACTGTTCCCAGCAGATCTGGGACCAAATCCCATTTCTTGGCATATCTTCCCAATTCATTGCACTGTCTCCTTTTTAAAAATCAATTATCTTCTGACAGTAAGCATTTTAGCTCACTTAAGGGATCCCGGTTTTTCAGCTTCATCCAGGTAACTGCATCAGTGCTGAAGCGTGTCTTTTGGGAGAGTCACCAGTATGGGGTTACTAACGTTAGGCTCCCGAAGTCTGAACACTTGTGACCCGTGTGTTGCACGTGGGCCAAGGAAAGAGTGTCTTAGCCAGTCGGCGTTCACAAGCAAGTGCCTCTGTGGCTCAACCAGCCAGAGGGGTTGGGATATAGTTGAAGTGTCAGTGGAAGAATTCCAGTGCCCGGAAGAAATTCAGGTTAAATAGAATGAAACCAGCAAGGCTCCTCAAAGGCATCTTTTTCATTATAGAACAGTATGTTGGGAGTCAAGTGGAGCCTTATCCTAACTGAGAATTAGACACAGTATTGTGCACACAGTAAGTTTAGAAGTCTGGAGTTCAGATCCTGGCTCTACCTCATAAATAGCTGTGTGGCCACTGTCTCACAGTGGGCTTCAGTTTCCTTCAGTGTTATACAGGCAGCTTATTAAGGGTGAAATGCACATGTCTGGAAACCCAGGCCTGTGTGACCGAGCTAACACGCGCTGAGTGCTTTGTTTGAAATCTGTTGCCTGGAAGGTGCCATTTCTGGCTAGTGGGTGGCACCAGGCTTGCAGCAGCAGTGCCCTCTCAGCTTCCTGTGTGGGAGCTCCCTGCCTTCACCCCATTTCTCCATCTTATTTTCTCTCTCATGCTTTAGTCTTTGTCTAGCTCATTTTAGGGGAAGAGAGGAGATGCAGGGATCGTCTTATTCCCATGTCATCGTTCCTCCCGGTTCCATTGCTGGTTGGGACTGTATTTTCTCCAGCACCACCTATGCCTGTATCTGTGCAGCACCGATACCTTCTGTGGCATCTGTGGGTCCAGGCCTTGCACACGTGGGCCTCGGCTTGGCAATCTGCGTCTTTGCCCTTGGTGAGTCGTTGAATAGGAGTGTCCCCATGCAGAGTCTGCCTCCAGCTTCATCTCTGACAAGTCCACAAGCCTAGGTGGAAAGGAGTGAAGGTCTCCCCGTCTCTCTCCAGCAAAAAGACAGCACTCTAGGGAGAGGAGTTCTTTCTTCAGAAGGAAGGACAGGCGCCAGTGCTTAAGAAGTTCTTAGGAGAAAAAGAAAGTGGAGCCCTGTCAGGGTCCCCTTCCTGATCCCATGCTGACTTTAAGCCCTATCCCTGTATCTGGGAACAAGTTGGTGGATGCACCAGAGAGCTTCCTGTCTCCTCATCACCTCTCCTTTCCATGCCCACCTTGTTTGGGTGAACAAAACAAGACAAGGAATTCTGTATGTGGAGCATATATCCTGTCCAAGCGGTGGACAGACAGTTGGCCTCTTGGCCTGAGAGGAGGCTGAGGGGTCTGGGGATCTCTGGGAACATTCCCTGACCACACATCCAGAGACCCCTGTTTCACAGTCACTTAGCTGCTATGTTAGGCATCGGCCCTAATGTTAATCAGCAGCTTTTTTGTAGCAGGAGGAAGGGCACCTACCATGGGGAAACCCAAGATCACATGTAATTGAGGTCTCATCTGGGAGGTGCTCATGAAGGCCAGAGGTTGGAAGGAGGGAGAGTGACCACCGCTTTCTTTCCCAGGGCCTAGGCAAGAACAGTGGCCCTTTATGGCCAGACATGCTTCTCTTGTGACTACTTACATTTCAGTAGATTGACTCTCTGTTGTGGATTCTTCCTTGTATTTACTGTAGAATTGGGACTCCTAAGCCTTATGTGTTGCATACTTGGGTGGCTGATGTATCTGTTAAAAGCCTGCCACCTGGATATTTTTTTCTGTCATTCTATACAATTATTGTCCTTGTAGTCTATAATTGCAGTAGAAATATAAATGTCCTCGTTCTGCAAAGCTGTTGAGAGGTTTATGGTAGCTGGTGCTAAAATGAAGTCATTAACAGGAAGAAAAGCAAAATGATAGCAAAGCAATTTTTATAAAATAAACAGAATCCATCTCATCTTTCGCAGTTAGAACTTTCCCCCCTTACGGGTGACAGGGGTGTGACTCTAATTTAAAGTATGTGAATGAAATAGTGTTGTTTATTTATTTGTTCATAGATTTATTTTTGTTGTCTTTAGAAAGCTAGACACACTCTCTGAAGGATATTTTCTAATAAAAATATAGGAAGAAAACAAACCTCTGTTTCCAGGGAATTAGTATAAACATATTTTTAAAAATACAAGTTTCTGACTATAAAAAGTGTAGGACTCCTGTGACAGTATTCTGTGCTGTCATCTTGAATCTGCTGCTAAAAATTAGTTCACATTTCACATCATTAACCCTAACTCCTTCTCCAAAGCAGTGTTTGAAGAAATCTGGGCTAAAAGAAGGATAAGGGTACGGAAGCTTGTTTCACACTGAGATCCTGTGAGCCACAAGACTGTCAAGGCCAGGTGCTCCATGGAGACCTAACAAAAAGTCGTGTCCATTTTCAGAGGGAGTTCTGAAAGGTACAATCAGAAAATGAAAGCCTAATTGCTAGTCTAGAGAAGACATTCGAATTTTGTTGAAATTCTCTTGAGTAGAAGAAAAAATACATACTACAATCTGACTAGACAATCTGACTAGATATTTACAGGTGGTTAGAAAAGCAATGAAAAAAAAAAAAAACTAGAGACTCTGCCCCTCACCCTATTCCTTGGTCTTTGCAGAGAGATCAGATGTAGTCAGATGACCATGGTCTCTCCATTCTGAAAAGAAAGCCAGAACTGTAACTAGAGATCTTAGGACAGTCTTCCTGGAATGCTGGAAAAATAGACCCCGTTTTTAACGACTCAAGGAGAATCGGTAGAGATCCCTAAAAGAGAGACCAGATAATTGTCCATTTTTGACAGAAGGAGAAAGAAAAATATTCTAAAAATGAAGGTTAGGAGAAAGGATCCAGCAATCTGCAGAGATAAATTGAGGTCACTTTTGGGGGTGGGAGGATCAGGGATCCTCTTCAATGGGCTGCCTTTCCTAAACAAGGCACACGAGAATGTGCTTGAGTTGATGCTGTCTTAGCCTTGTTCTGTTGAAAGACTTGGGAGCCAAGCATTCTTAGCCTTTTTTGCTGGTGTACATATTTTAGTTTTATTTTGGAAAGGCTTAAAAACACAGAAAATGATGTCCATATCCATGTGCTCACCGTCTGTAATTAATTAATCCTGTTAATTGGCCTTTGTCCTATTTGCTTCCAATCCTTACAGTTTAAAGAAACATATCAGTAATCATTCATTTTGCATCTCTTTCCAGTCCTTTTCTCATTTGACCTATGTAGATACACACCATGATTTTACCATTCTTAACTTTTTGTGGATCTTGGGCCCCTGTGAGCTGAAAGCCCTGGACCATTTCCGGCCTTCCCCCACCCTCATCAAAGAAATGTCAGTGTCGACATACAAACGCTTCTCACACCATGAAGAGGAGTCACAGACACCCACCCACCCCCCGCCCCCAGTTGGAACCTTTCTGTATTCGGAGACTCCAAATTGACAGCCTCCACTTAGGGAAGTCTTTTCTATGACGTATCCAGTTCACTCTCAACAAACTGGATCTAACTGGGCAGAGCCATCTCCCTGCTGCCCTGAGAGCTGCTGTATGAAGCTGGGAAGATGCCCATTTGAGTAACATTAGCCTCCTGCATTTGTTATTTGCTGGTTTGTCATAAAGGATTTGTGTTGCAGGGCAAGAAGCAGCTAGTTTGCCTCCGCAGCGTTCACAGTTCCTTATTTCTGCAAACCCACAGTATGAGATCTGCAGCAGGGTTAAAATTACCCTCGCTTCCACTGCAGAGCTTTAATTAGGATCTGTCTATTGCCTGCTATTAGAAATCATGTTGATTTAATGCGGCATAAAAATAGAACTCCTTTCCTCTTCTCTGAAGCTCGGGCTTTTTAGCACAA